ACAAAGGAGGGACGAGGTGCGGAGGGGGGAGACAGAGAGAGCTATGTGTAGCGAGATTTGGTGTGTGTCATGCGCGTATGTGTATGTATATGTGTGTATGTGTACATGTACAATGTGTGAACATCGTACAACGATGCGATAGTCACCCACGAAAATTTCTCTTGCCCGTGTTTTCTGTCCCATTGGCGCGATTGAGTAAAAAATAGAGATATATATATATATATATATGTATATATATAGGAAGCAAACCTTTGGATTAGAGTCTCTGCCGCGGAAACACTTTCTAATGCCATCGTTTTCGGCTCTCCGCAGATCGATCTCGATCTGTAACGTGCGTGCGTGCGTTCGTTTGTTCGTGCGTGCGTGCGTACGTTCGTTCTCGTGAACCCCGTAACAAGTTTTCTATTATTACTGCACTGCGGCCGCCCGACGACGATCAGACGATCGATTCGCCCGACCACACTCGACAGGTCTTTGCTCTGCCGGAATAACGACCGCGCTGCCTGAATTCTAGCATTTGGGAGAGCTTAATGGACTCTCTCCCCGTGGAATGGACTGTGAAAAAGACCGATCTCGTCTCTCTCTCTCTCTCTTTCGTCTCGTCGTCGTATCTCTCTTTCTCTCTCCCTTTCTCTCTCTCTCTCTCCCTCTATCTCACGCGGCAATGGCGCGATGTGCCCGATAACATACGGTTCTCCTTTGTCTCCCGAAATTCCCGTGGACTCTGTTTAACGAACGAACGTATGCGACAATGCACTCTCGGTAGTGACCCTCCGCTTTGCTGCCGAGGGGGCGGCGGATATACGATACCGATACCGATATTTTCACTATGCGCGCGAGATCTCTCTCCCTGCGCGAATGATCTCTCCCTCGCGCGATTTTCTCTCTTCCCTCCCTCTCCCGCCCTTCGCGCGTGACTCCCCTTCGAAGTGTCCGTGCGAGAGAGCGAGCGCGCGCGCGCGCGCGCGAGCAATGATGTATTCGGTCAGATCGCGCGATTCTCCTTTTATCGCCGTCGCGACGACGTCATTTCTGGCCGACGTGGCATGAACGGCGGAAAACCCGGGCGGCGGCAACAACAACGGCAGCAACGGCGACGGCACCCGACACGTCCCGTCGTTCGTGGGTGTCCCTCTCGTGACGATTATCTTTTACCTATACTCCCGGCAAGCCTGTGCAAGCTTGCGCCTGCCCCCCGTCCTCCGTCGGGCGTGTATCTGTGAGACGTTGTTGTTGCGTGTCCCCCGCTTCTGTGTGTGCCCGCGCACGGACGTGAGGCTCGCTCGTCTCGCGCGAGTATCCGAAACGGAAGTGCGCAGAAAATGGGACGCGTCCGCGCGCGTGCGTACTCGTCTTGCTGCGGAGAGAAAGAGAGAGAGAGAGAGACAGAGAGAAAAGGACGCGCAACGGCTACTCGCTGCGACGACGGGATGACGTCGGCGTCTCTTTTCCTTCTCTTTCTTCCCCCTTGCCCCTCTCCTCCTATCCCTTGCCCCCTTCGGGAACGAGACGGCTTTTCTTTTTTCACTTGTGCGGTCTTTTTTAACCGAAATCCGCGCGCGGACGAGAATCTGCAGATTTAACGCGATGACCGGCGATGGCGACGACGTTGACGACGACCGATGACAAACGGAGACACAAGGACGAACGGCGTTTCTCTCCTCCCGGTAACGCCCGAGAACGGTTTTTCCGCGCGAGAGAGACAGAGAAAGGGAGCGACGAGTCTGAACGTCCCTTGCCGAGAGATTGACGAGCGAACGGGCGGGCGAGCGAGCGGAATCAATCTCGAAGTGATCGATGAGCGATCGGGCGGTGTCACGGGCCGCGTTCGTGCTCCTTCGCGGATAAAACGCGGAGAAACGGAAAACCGATAAACGGCGGAAAACCAACGCGCGCCTCCTCCTTCTTCTTCCTCTTCTATCTCTCCCTTTTGCTCGCACGATCTTTTTGCCCTCGCTCGCGCGCGCGCGTGTCGTCCCCGCAGGGAGGATTCTCTCTCGAGTCTCTCTCAGCAAGAGCGTGCGAACATTTATGACGCAGCGAAGAGAAAAAAAAAGAAACGAGTCGCAGGCGAAACCAAGAGCTGCGAGATGGTCGGACAATGGCGTATTACTATGCTTTGCAGATACTATAAAAGTGCAGTCTCTCTCTACGATGAGCGAAAACTTTAAAGATCAAACTAAACATGGCCACATCTGGAACTATTCTGAGGCGGATGCCCGTCACGGTACCTACGGATGGCGGACCCGACAATCGAGCAGCGGGTCAGGAGAGAAAGCGACGCTCGCCCGCGGCTCCGCCAATCCGCTGCCGAGCTCGCTGCTCACGTGACCATGTGAACTTTATTCGTGCGCCCCCACCATCGCGTCGCTCCTTCTTCCTTGCCGACCGTTCTCTCTCTCTCCTTCTCTTTCCACCTAGCTCTCGCTCTCCGTCTCGCCCGTGACTTTCCCACGGCCGCAAGAATTCTCGAATGCTCGCGTTGCGACACACGGCTGTGCTTCGCTACGGAACCTCTCGCGCGAAAAAGCGTGACGTGGCACGCCGAGCTACTGCCCGAGCGGAAAACGTCCGCCGCCGGGGAGGGGAAACCGGAGGGGAGGAGAAACCGCGATTGCGTGACTCCGCAGCTTTTCCGCGAGCGAGCAATTTACGGAATCGGCGGTTGGTGGAAATTCCATCGGAAAATTTCGACGCCGAGAACCCGTCGCACGCGCAACAGAGATGATCCCTCCTTCTCCGTTGAATTACCGTCCTCGAAAAAATTAACACGAACACATGCTATCTTCTCTTCGGTAAAATGTCGTTGTGTTAGCTCCGAAGGCCACACGGTTTTATTTTTACACAGGTAGAAAGATATATCGAGTGCGTTCTTCGCACTTAATCGAGTCCGACGCGAGGGACTCCCCGATTAGATAAGAGTTCATGTGCGTGAGAGAGATAACGTTGCGGGCAACGTGAGATTGATAAGGGGAACAAACAATGCGCCATTGCGGTGATTTACCGCCTTGCGATGATATAATAAATAAATATCACACGCGCACACATTCTTAATTGAAATTTAAAAAACTGAATATTTGTACGCTCCGAGATACATACGGAATATTTTATTAAATGAATCTATATTTATTCATATGTACATGATAACGACTAAGTTTAAAAAATATATATATTTTTTTTCATTTTATACTTGTCTCTCTTTTTTTCGCCGTGTATACAAACACGTCTGGTCTATAAAATAACTTAAGAAACGGAAAGTACATTTATACATGAACGACTTAAAACGGCGGTTGAATATCACGATTAGAGAGAGATTGTCGGTTGAATCACAGTTCACTTTACTTGTTCGTGAGAACGATGATGAAACACGAAGGAAATGCCGCTGGACCAACATTGCCGTAATGATAAATCAGGCAAGTGTCGCGGACTCTGCGAGTGTCGCCACTCGGATAGATCGGAATTGCAGTCGGATTGCTCCGGCGGGCCCCTCGTCTCGACGCCGTTGACACAACGTCTGCATTTAAACCTGCGACAAAGCACCACGTGAATCATCCCGATCCCTCTGAAGAGCCCCGCTTCTTCCCGCACTTACTTCGCGTGTGTGTCTGACACCGTGTTCTCCTCCAGCTTGAACAAGTCGCGAAGATCGTTTATGGTGAAATGCCTCGCCACATCGTCCTCTTGGTCCACCACCGTCGAGCTCAACGCTTTCTTGTGGGCTTGCCTCTGAAATATCTTTTCCTCTATCGTTCCGGTCTGAAAATATAAAATATCTGTAAAAGAAATCGAGTCTGCAAAGATTCCCTAAATTTACAATATATAATAATTACAGACAACAAATACGATCACGTTCGAATATTATACGCACAATTAATCCGATGCTCTTACCCGCTTCTGATTTCTAAGCAGCATTCCAAATCTCAATATTTTTCCGACCAGGCGCGATTCTACGGGACTCTAAAACGCCACGAGATCACAATCGAGCGAGAAAATATTTCGACTTGAAGCGCTTCAAGTACTCATTAGATACGGAGAAAATTTAAGCACCGAATTCGCTTGTATAAATCCGACAGAAATCAATAACTTGAGAATATCGTAAGTGTCGGCCGAGGAAAGCCTCATCTCCGGCGCGTAATCGCTCCTTAAATATCGACTCGTTCTGCTATACTAACGGAAAGGAAGCGATAGACGAAGCACGGCTTCTTCTGGCCGTCCCGCCAGACCCTGGCCATCGCTTGTTCGTCGTTCGCAGGATTCCAGTCGGGATCGAACATGACGAGGCGATTCGCGCCGATGAGGTTCAGGCCGCATCCGCCCGCCTTCGAGCTGAGCATGAAGATGAACTCGCCGCTGTCCGCGTTGTTAAAATTCTCGACCACCTTCGCCCTCTTCTTGATCGACATTGTGCCGTCCAGCCTCACGTATCTGTAGTCACGTTTGTGACAGAGCTTCTCGAACAGGTCCAGCGTTTGCGTGTAGTTGGACACCAGTACTATCTTGTCGTTCGTTGTGGTCTTGATGGACGCCAACAGGCAGTCGAGGACCATCAGTTTGCCCGACAATTCCGGCAGAAGCTCCCTGCAACAACGATTTCAATCGTCGTTCAGCTGTACTCGGCTTGATCGCCCGACAACGGACAACGGATCGATCTAATACTTCGTCGAGTAATTCGCCGGCAAGAATCTCGTCGCGTTCTCGAATCCGTCCGATCTCTCCTTGATCTTGTCGTATATCAGGTCCGGATGATTACACAGCTTCTTCAGGAGAGTTATGGCCGCGAGGGCGGACAGGGTTCCTCCTTTCTTCGATTTCTCGTTATCGCTATCTACATAAATCAATATTCGCACAACATATCAGCGTGTTACCGTTAAAGTAGTTTAATCCGTGAAAAACAGCACGTACTCTCCATAGACTTCTTTATGATGTCGCTCTGTACGAAGCTCTTGTAGAGACGCGTTTGCAGCTCTCCCATCTTGATGCACACGACGAGCTCGTGCTTGAGCGGCAGGTACTTCGAAAGCAAGGCGCTAGTGCGCCTGATGAGACACTTGTTGACGACGGACACCAGTTCGGACAAACGCTCCTCGGCGAGCTTGCGCTCCGTGTCCGTCGCTGCCGCGTCCTGACCGCGCAATATGGGCGTCTCGAACTTCCTCCGGAATTCCTGCGGAAACAAAGGTCACGAGTGAACGACGCGAGCCCCGACGAAACGATCCGCCGATATTTACCTGCGCGGTTCCCAGTAATCCTTGATTGACGAAGTGCACGAGGGAGAAGTACTCGAGCAGATCATTTTGTATGGGCGTTCCGCTGAGCAGGACCCTCCGCTTGGCTTTCAGGCCCATCAGCGACTGGTACGTTTGGTTCTCGGAATTCTTCAGACGGTGGCCCTCGTCGCACAACACCAGACCCACCTCGTTCTGATGCAGCACGTGGGCGTGCAGACGGAAGGTCTCGTAGCTGATGATCAGGATCGGATACACGCATCTGCCGTTGTAGGTCTTCATGAAGCTGATGAGCTTCGTGTCGATGTCCTGCTTCTTGCCGCCGTCGATCGCGAGGGCGCTCACACGGTCCTTCAGCCACTTGTAGATCTCGTTGTGCCAGTTCTTCACCAGCGAACTGGGCGCGACGATGATCGCCTTGTCTATCAGCGGCTTAGCTTCCGGCCCTGCAGAGAGTACGATCGTTCCGTGAGAATCTCGTCTCTCTCTCTCGCGTGTCTCCTTGGTTGAAGCAACGGTAACCCATGCACCTCGGCTCACCTTGTTTCAGCAACGTCCACAACAGAGTAATACATTGCAACGTCTTGCCGAGACCCATCTCGTCCGCCATAATGCAGCCGTATGCATCCTCTATACGTTTACCTGTTACGCACTCGTACATGAATTTCACGCCTTCGCGTTGATGTGGCCTCAGCACATGGCACAACTGGGGATCTACAACCACGTGTACAAGTTGCTTACACCTGCAAGAATAGACGATGCCCGTTCGTTTTGTTAGAATCTAATTGTATGACTCTACTTGAGAGTGCTGCGCGCTCGAATAGCACAGAAACGTGAGAGAAAAAGAATTAGCTCCCACCGGGTGAAACTGTCTGTAAAATACAGCTGAAATTTCGCTAATTTCCTCGTTCTTGGTTCTTAGCTTCGATAGCAGAATCTGGTAATTAAATGTCAGTTACACGGGAAGCTAATCCCTTTCTTCTGCGAGACATTGGAAAAACATGCTGCATCTAGAGACGTTGGCCACATACGGGTCTAATTTTAATCTGTCGTGTTCAGACATCTCCGGCGGCGAGTAGACGATCAATGCATTGGCTTCGTCAGGATCGTGCAGTGGCCTACGTGGTCCTGAAGTGTATACTCCAAGATATCGTCTGGATAACTCATAGCCGGGTATCGGTATTCTAAACGGTTTGGTGAGTAACTTCCTCACTCTCTCTTCCTGACCAACAATATAAGTTACTTCTACAGCGAGGGATCTTGTGTGTGTATGTGTATATAACAGAGGTGTGAAATAAAGATAACTACTTGTGAGTAAACTCACATGTTCTGATATCATTTCTTGAGCCGTACGGATACCAATATCAGAAAGAAGAACAGCTTTGCGCTCTTGTATTTGTACATCTTTGATATTCTTGGAGGCTCTCCTCTTTGGCTGTTGCGTGAAGTTTTCCGGCTGGGTCTGTTCACTCACTGCGGTATTGGATATGTCTGAGAGCAAAGGACGTTTTCCTCGTTGACTAGGCGCCAATGATCGAATCTTGCGTGCGAAACATGTGGAAAAAAAAATATATATATATGTGCGTATATAAACTCTATGTCTATGCATGTAAGATACAAGTAAACACGACACCTTCTATTTAATGCTATTAAGAAGGCTATTAAGAAGGTTATGAATGTTATGAATGTTCTGTGAGCCAAATAGATCTTTTAATTTCTATTTTCATCATCACAGAGTTAATATCACTGGTGTAGATGATTCCGCTAGTTTTGGAACAATTATAAATATGTGTGATGTTTAACACATATAACCTCTATATTTCGTACACTAAATATCATAAGCAACGTGTTGTTGGACAAGACGGATTTATTCTGCAAATTCTTACCATTTCACGCGTTCGACCACTTATGCCGTTTAAATATCAGTACTGTTGATTGTTAATTTGTCATTTGACGTAAAAATGGCGCGAATCGCTGAGCAAAGCCACATTCAAATCCATTTACAGAAGTTTTCAATGCCCGATAGATGAATCTAAATGTCCGACTGACTTGCCGTTGATTTGCATTACTCGAAAATTAAAGTACGTCTGACTTATCGGCCATTCCGACTCCCGAGATTCGAGGTCGTGGTTCGACTCAACGATAAGTCAGCCGTACATTAATTTTCAAGTAATGCAAATCAACGGCAGGTCAGACGAGCATTTATTTTCAAGCACCGCCACAACAGTATTCAATTCAATTCACTTAATTATACGGACTAATGGATTTATACATGTACGCACCTTAAAAATATGTTATTTTAACAAATATATATATGTGTTTTTCATGTTAATTAATTAATATCTTGGCGTTTAAAAGCGCACTTACACAAGTATAGCTTAACTGTGTATTAAAGCGATTAAACAAAAGATATGTAAAAAAAATTGAAATTAAAAAATTCCCAGCTGTGATTGAAGTTACGAAGAACGATCATTCGAGCGAGATAGTTTCAGGAGGAAGATCGAGATGACGTGTGTTTATAAAACGCAACGCAACTCAAAGACAACAATATTCCTTTAATTCTCTAACATATACATCTTGCCTTTCGCAGAGACAATGGTTCGATAATGTTTCGCTCAGAAACGTCCTCTAAAGTATCTGTACATGTAGGTCAAAACATCTCTCCCTTGGATTTGGCTCAAACGCATAAAACTTGTTATATGTGAATTTCGCAAATGTGGAATGTAGGGAACGCAAAGTACAATGTGTTCGCGAACTACTACGTGTCCCGCTATACTTTCCGTCTATGTTAATACTGTATGATATATTACACTTTACAATGGTCGGCTTAGCGTGAGTGAGCACCGCTCTAAGCACGAGAGGCATGCAGTTACAGTTGAAATACGATATAATATATTCACAGTTGTTCTTTCTTTTTATTATTTTCATGATAGACAACACACACACGCAGAGCATCGGAATCGTGGCTACAGAGAGAGAGAGAGAGAGGGAGAGAGATCCGTCCGTAGGATTCCGGGCGGATTCGCCCAATCATTTTCGAACTACTATTTACTCTCGCACTCTCTCATTTTGCACAACACCGAAGAAGGAAAAGAACGATCCCGATGAGCTTGTTGTACTCGTTAATATTTATCAAGGTGCAACAAGGCGCGTCGCTCGCTCTCTCTCTCTCTCTCTCTCTCTCTCTACCTCTGTTCCTCCTTCGCAAAAAGTGCCAATTTAAATATTCTTCTCTTATCAAGTTACTCGTCGATGTACTCTGTGAATACGCGAGGATAGTGTAATCCTTTCTCTGTTCCGATCAATGTCGGATGAACGGAGCCCGATAGAGGGCTGATATATATATATGTATATATATAACGCGCGTTATAATTCCGCCGAATTTCATTTCAAGCTCCGGCGACACAATCTGACTGAATGTGGCGTAAAGCTAAGACTCGTCATAAATAAAACCGGCGGATTAATGACGGGAATCCCTCGGATAGAATTCCGCGAGGGTGCTGGCCGGGATTCGCTTGAGCATCTCCTTGGGGAAGATTCGCAGGAGCTGCCAGCCGATGTCCAACGACTCGAACACCGTGCGGTTCTCGTAGCTGCCCTGCGAGATGAAGTTCTTCTCGAACTTCGACAAGAATTCCAGGTAGAGCAGGTCGTCCGGCGTCAACGCCTCCTCTCCCACGACGGCTTTCATCGCCTGCACGTCCTTCCCGATGGCGTAACAGGCGTACTAGAAAACAGCAACAAAGTCTTTACATACGCGGATTTTTCTTTTTACAATTCTGAAGAACCGTCGGAAATCACGAGGAAAGAAATGATCGTCGAATGATCTGTCGAGGAAGGGACGTTCCGAAGAGATCGGATCCTCCCCCTCCTCTTCTGATTCACGACTCACCAGCTGGTTGGACACGTCAGAGTGATCTTTCCGCGTCATGCCCTCGCCAATGGCGGACTTCATGAGACGCGAGAGGGACGGCAGCACGTTCACGGGCGGATAGATCTGCCGGTTGTGCAGCTGACGGTCGACGTAGATCTGGCCCTCGGTGATGTAACCCGTGAGATCGGGGATCGGATGGGTGATGTCGTCGTTCGGCATAGTGAGAATCGGTATCTGCGTGATGGAGCCGTTGCGACCCTCGACACGGCCGGCGCGCTCGTAGATGGTCGCCAGGTCGGTGTACATGTAGCCGGGGAAGCCGCGTCTACCCGGCACCTCCTCGCGAGCGGCCGAGACCTCGCGCAACGCCTCGGCGTACGACGACATGTCGGTGAGGATCACCAGGACGTGCTTCTCGCACTGATACGCGAGGAACTCGGCCGCGGTCAGGGCGAGACGCGGAGTGATGATGCGCTCGATCGTCGGGTCGTTGGCCAGGTTCAGGAAGAGGCACACGTTCTCCATCGAGCCGTTCTCCTCGAAGTCCTGCTTGAAGAAACGCGCAGTCTCCATGTTGACGCCCATCGCCGCGAACACGATGGCGAAGTTGTCCTCGTGGGAGTCCAGGACGGACTTGCCCGGCACCTTCACGAGGCCCGCCTGACGGCAAATCTGCGCGGCGATCTGTCGAAACGAGGATGGAGACTCTTAGAAAATGTATTTACTATGTATTTGTGAAACCAAATCTACCTGCTCGAAAGGAAGAAAATAGAGATTAGAATCGCACAGTGAAATTTTACTACGTTTCATTACCGCGAATTTGGTTTCGTAGCAAAGAATTTCACCGTACAAATCTGTTCTTTCCCTTCAAGTTCCTCTCTTCGACTTTCTTTCTCAATGCTGAGACAGTACCTCGTTATGCGGCAAGCCAGCGGCGGAGAAGATGGGAATCTTCTGGCCACGGGCGATGGAATTCATAACGTCGATGGCTGATATTCCAGTTTGAATCATTTCCTCCGGGTAGATACGGGACCACGGGTTGATGGGTTGTCCTTGGATGTCCAGGTAATCCTCGGCCAGGATCGGCGGGCCCTTATCGATCGGTTTGCCTGAGCCGTTGAACACACGGCCCAACATGTCCTCGGATACCGGGGTCCGCAGGATGTCACCGGTGAACTCGCAGTGAGTGTTCTTCGCGTCGATGCCCGATGTACCCTCGAAGACCTGGACCACGGCTTTGGAGCCGGACACCTCGAGCACCTGGCCGGAACGTAAGGAGCCATCTGCGAGCTTCAGCTCTACGATCTCGGCGTACTTCGGGAACTTCACCTCGTCCAATATCACCAACGGGCCGTTCACTCCAGACACCGTCTTATAAGCTGAAAGAAGTCGGCTAATTACTACACAGAACTCGTCGTTGAACGAAAAGCGATGTGAATTCAAGATTTCAAGGATATGCGTGAGAGACAGGGAGTATACGGAAAGATTGATTAAATTTAATATATCGGAATGTGGAGGAATAAGTGTGATAAGGCCAAAATGAGAAGCCAAATCCTTCCTTTTTAGCTGAAAACCTCTGAATTAATAAATATATATAGAACAACATAGAACTCTCCCCCGATGTTTCATATCATCAATGTGTGTGCTTTTGATACACACGTCGTCACATGTCGACGGCAATAGAGATTTCACGGAGATCACACTAACTTGATAAGAGCTACACCAGCTTGATAAAAATTCCAAGAACTTTCTCGCACACATCCGAAACTAATTCCCATCCACGCTTCTAATTTCAGACCGGCTTGCCCCGTTGAATGAGCTGGAAAATCTACAAGTCGCGGTCGATAAACTGTGCAACGATCTTACGAGAAATTGCTCGGCGACTCTCGCACGTCTCTCATGATACGTTATATCACAGTGTCGCGACTGCCAAGTGGCCGAGTGAAGTTACGCCCGAAGACGTCAGCTGACGCTCCGGAAGCCGAGTTAACGCTCGGTCCTCCTCGGTCGATCTCTCGAGTCGTCGGTCGAGAAATATCGGCTGGTCAGCCGTGAATTACCGCGAGAAGGCAGGTGAGGAGCGGCCGGAATCACGTGCGGAGCGACAAGAGAGCTGCCACGAGTCGTCGTCCGCAGTCACATGACGCCGCGAGCGCGCGGCCTCGGGATCGGCGATTTTGCGGACGGCCTGCTCCGCGAGATCCGCGTCCTCGAGGCCGCTCGTCGATCCGCCTGTGTCACACGGGGGGGCATATCCAAGGGGAACGCAGGAAGACGCAGGAATTTCGGGGATCAGCTGACCCAGTTGGGGCATCGATCAGATGCTACGCCCACTCGGATCCGCCGTTGGTCGCTCGTCGTCACCGACGAGAAAGAGAACTCGTCGGCCAATGCGTACTCACTGAGTCGGGGCTGGGCGATGAAGTCCCGGGAGACGGCTAGTACGTGTTCCTGGCTGGCCTGTTGGCCGCTGATCGTCCTTGAATACATCTCTCCCTCGATTTCGCGTGATCCGCCGTGAGAGTCACCGCTGCCACTACTGACTCCACGGAACAGCGGGTGATACTGTGCTTCGCCGCGCTGCGCGCCGAGAGAAAGAGAGAGAGAGAGAGAGAGAGAGACGGATGATAGACGCGGGGAGCGGAAGCGGGCGATCGTCTCGCGCGCCTGATTTGATTTACCAAAGAGTGGGACGCGTGAAACGGAAATGAATGAATTGGAAGTAAATCGCGTGCGGAGCTGCCGAAGGGCTTTTCGGAGTCGCGGAATCGCCTTCCAGGCGGCGAGCGGTCGTAGCGCGCGATCCGCAGCGCCCGTGAGCGAGAGAGAGAGGGAGAGCGTGGCGGACGAGGCACGTGCAATCACGTGGCTCGGACTCGGTGGATCGTTAAGCTCACCTTCGGAGGGAAGATCGCGCGGAAGCGACGAGTTGGTCGCGCGGACGCGAGATTTGCGGAATTAAGAGAGGCGAGGACGAGATCGGCCACCGGCTGCGGACGCCCAGCGACTTTTCGATGTCTCGTCTATTGACGCGTCCGACGGGAAGATGGCAGCGCGCCTGCACGACAGTGCGGGTGACAGATGTCCTCCGCGCTGACGGCCGGATATTCCTGATTGTCGCTTCAGCCGCGCTCCCTCTGGAAGTTTACGTCCCGCGGCGGTTCGGTTGAATCGTTTTCACCGGCCGACGACTGATCGGAGAAACGATGCTTCTCCTCTGATTTGAGTTAACCTCTGAGACATTTTTTGAATTCAGAATCGATCGGCTCGCTCTCTCGTTCCCTCAAGACGGGAATTTATTCGCGGGTCATTCGTTCAGGGTGGCTTTTAGCGATCTCTGATTAAGCTGATTCGACTCGATTGATAAATAGTGATGAAAATTGCCGACTTGTCAGCTCCCGGTTCTGTAATTTGTTCGATAATAATTTAAGAGAGTTGGCCACTTTTACGTGTATTAACAAGACAGGCATATAGAGACCAAATTCATGTATAAATTACACATGATTATATATAATTATAAATAATTATACGTAATCTTTCTCCCTGCGAAGCCCGAGTGTCCGTCCGTTCCGTCCGCAAACGCGCGGAAAGTGCAGAAACGCGCGCGGCGCAACGCCGACCACCGTGACGTTGGTCACGAGTCGCTCACTACGTCACTACGACGCTATATTCACGCTGACGTTGACGCTTACCGCGCGGGGGGGTGTCCTACGAGCATCGGGCAGGATCGCCGTCGAGAGTCAGTCGTGTCGGTGCGCGCACCAAGGAGAGAGAAAAGGACGGAAACTACGGTGACGACGATCGTGAGTGTTGGCAGTCGAAGCATGGCGGCCCTCAAGCATATCACCAGCCTGAGCCGGGCGCTCGCGACGATGACGTCCGCGTCGCGGCCGTGCCTCCAGCACGCCGCTAGGAAGACCTATTTCACGTACGTGAACGAGCCGTCTATGCCGATCCCGGGCAAGGACACCTGCTGGTTGAAGACCGCCGATGAGGCCATCGAGCAGGCTGAGCTCGACTCAGGTAATCGATGACGTTGCTACTTGGAACGTTTCCCTCGCCGAAAAAGGGGTAAGAAAGAGAGAGAGAGAGAGAGAGAAAGAAAGAAAGAGTGGGAGGGAAAGAAGGAGAAGGCAGGAAGACAGCTGCGATGATTTCTCGTCCTGCCCGATCGGTTCTCCCAACCACATCCGCAGCCGAGTCTGATCGGCTTTTCTTCCTCCTCCTCCTTGCCTCTGTCGCAGATGAAGTTGCGAGTTGGAAAAAGACGGCGAATCCGTGTCGGCGATTTAACGACATACGACGATGCTAGCGCGCCAACAAGCCCAAAAATGTGGCCGTGTCGGTGCAATTTGCTCTTAATCACGGAGGTTTGTACTTCGCCCGAAAAGTTTCTCCTTCGAGCGGTTGTTTATCTGCCTCTTCGTGTCTCGCAGTATCGGTAATGCCGATGAGCGATTGCACACATGTCTAATCCCGAATCTTAATGTAAACAAGAAGATACCCCCGAATTCACTGCGAATTTTGCTGTCTCAGCATTGATCGTTCGATTCCATCCTCGCGAAACTCCCCGCATTTCGAAGTTCCGTCGATCGATCTGTACGTGCAATCACGGGATCGATATAATTATATTCCGCATAATACGCGTGTTTACTCGGCTCTGTCGCACGTCTATGCAATTTTTACCACCGTCCGAACAGAATTTCCGGCACATCAGCAGATCACATAAATCACTGTTACAGATATTTTTCTAATGAATATTTCATAATCGCGGGAGACGCGATATCGCGGGGAATGACTAATTAGGATGTTAGAGGGGTTAATGGTTACGCAGTTGATCGGCAATTGCAAGAGATCGACCTAATAGATTAGACTTCCTCCTATAACGAGCTGCTTATCGCCCACGATTGGATTAAACGAGAGCAACGTGCGCGGCGATGCGATGACGAGGCGTGCTTTGACGTTTATTACTTTGTTTTTGACTTCGGCTGAGATTACACGACACGCTTAGCACGTTTAGAACGTGGATCAGTAGCAGATAGACAAACGTTGCCGCCCAACGTCGCAAAACGGTTTTGGCGAGAAACGCAGGAGGAAGCGTGGGACATGGGATGTTATTCTGTCCGTCTAGCAGTTGAATATTTCAATATAAAGCTGGGATGACTTGACGAGAGAAAGAGAGAGAGAGAGAGAATGATTCGATTCGTAATGATAAAAAAGCGGACCAACAAGAGCCGAGTGACTGATTGCAAAAAAATTAATTTTAATAAATAACTCTTCCAATATATTGTCACCCAAGTGTGAGATAATAATTTACATTTTCTAAATCTTTTTTAATATACTTTTCAATATACTTTTATATATACATGTCACTTTTTTTACACATGTCATGTATTACATAATAAGCGTTACTATCTTGATTAATGTATGTATATTTTTTTCTCTTTCGTACGATACGTATAATTATGTTTGACATATCAAAAGGATGATTTCTTGTAAATAAACGGATAAGTAAATAAATAAATAACACATATATCGCGTATTTTATCATCGCTTTTGCGACGATATTGGGAGAATTATTTTTTTCAATTCATTTATTAAAATTAATTTTTCCGTTGTCAGTCACCTGCGTTATTCTCTATAGGCCCGGTTTTTCAACAATTGTAAATAACCGCGAGCCTCGCTTAATTATCAATTCGGTTTGTACACGTCACGGTATTTGTCGAGTGCCTCTTGCGTATTGTGTTTTCGCAGAATTTCCAATCGTCGGACGCGCTCGGTGTATTTACGTTCGGCCAAATTTCGCGCCGCGCCAGGCGCCCCTACTTGTGGGACAATCGATTGCGAGTAACCGACTCGAGATATACTTAGTGCATCGCCTTGAATTGCGGCATTATTTTTGCGCGACCCTCGCCTAGAGAATGATATGTAGATCAATCCCGTCAATGAAAGAAACGTTCGCTGCGATTCGCTCGCTTCCCTCCCGCGCCGATGCTTTGCGAACGTGCGCACCTCGGGAATCTTTATTAAAATCGATCATTACGTAACAACACAACTAAACGAAAGGCGCGTCCTCGATACGAACTTTCGGCTTGTCACGTCTCATGAATTAGAATTAATATATGTTACGTTAACGAAGAATCTTTAAGCTCTCTAACATGGCGATTCCTTTGGATTTGATTTCAGAAAGGCTTACGTTACCTCCAATTCGCTTGACAAAGCTCCGAGATCATTCGGAGAGATCTCGGAGGAGATAAGATATAATCGAGATCTTACGAAATCCAAGAAAATGAGATTTCGCGCGTGTAAACGCCCTGCGTTGTAATCTCAAGTGTTAACACCGATACCGAGTTCTGGTGTACTCGCGAGTTCTTCTGATCGAGAATAATATTTACTCGTTCCGCTCGCATCTATCATCGAAACCGGAATGGAATGCCATTAACGCCGTCCCGGACGAAATCAACTGTGTTGACGCTGTTTCATCGTCGTGCATCCGAGCTCAGAGCGACTTGCTGCACGATTTGCAATTAGGGGGAAAACAGGTGTCGCGTTCGAAGGCGAGGCTTGACAAACAGCGCGCGCGTCACGAGTCTGCTTTCCGTTGTATCCGAGAAACACTCCGTTTCTCGACGTTGCTTCCTCTGGAAAGGAAACTGACAATCGTCCGATGTCGAGGCAGCTATGAGCGCCGATTAGCTACCGGGAAATTCGCCGAGTAGACTCGGTGCCTATGTTTGTCGAGCGGTGACTCAGACCGATTTTCCGACCGCTTCGGCCGCTCTAATACAAGTGGTAAATAAATCATATTCAGCATAAATAATAAAGCATAAATAATAAATAGCGTACATATATGCGGATGCATTTTACAATAAAATCGCTTTTGCGCGAAAGTCCGAAGGTTGCGCGAACAACCGTGGTGGTCGTGTTCAGTACCGGTTTTTGTTCCGAATAACATATTCCGCTAAAAAATGACTCGCATCATAAGGCGACCTTGTTCTTAATGACACTTTCAATATTCCCGCCGAGTTGAAACGGTCTTTCTTTTGTTTTACTTTGCGAGTCGAGCGTGAGTGGATTTCTGCATTAGCCGCGCGATACGCTTTTCGGCCAAATCGCTTGTGATTGAAGGAAAAAAAAGCATGAGCATCTGTATAGACGTCAATTAAGAGAGATAGAGAGAGGGGGAGAGGGGGGAGGTCGAATACTAACATTGACCTCGTACACGCGCTGCGTGCGAATGTGAATGCGCGCATGCGAATATCAAAGTCTAACTCTCGCTTAAATATAGCTCGTCGCGAAACGAAATTATGTGCACCGGTCGGTTTCGTATTGTAAATGAAATTATTTCAGGTGAAGAGTCCACCGCGCAAAGATCTTCCCCCGGATTCTCTTCACGCGACGATAACGTCCGTAGTGTGTCGGTGAAAAAGAAAGGGAATGAAATGATTGCCGAATGAAGGGCATAACGTGCATTTATATAGGATGAGACGCGCTAGGCGCGATCACGTAACGTAACGCGCGTGATCGCGTTCCAAGATAAGGTTTACGAGGATAAAAATATCGCGAGTCGCATGAGAGAATAATACAAGTTTCCGCTTGGCATTTCGCGGCTCCTCTCGATTCGTCCAGTTCCACCGGCATTATTCCGTCAACTGGAGCCTTTACTTATGTGTGTGTGTCACCTACGACGCCAGTTGTAGAAATTAATCGATCGGTCGAGCCGATAAAACTGATCTCGATAATGGCCTCGATAATAATCGTTATATGCACAGCAATGCAGAAACATGTTGTTTCGAAATCTGACTTATTTTATGTGCACAATATCGGGAATCAAATTTGGGAATATTGATATTGCTTCGTGCTTAGTAAGAATCCCGATAAGAACGTCCGATAAGACGCGCGTGAGAAATACATTTGACGAACTTTCTACTCATAAGTAACAACCGGTTGATAGAAGATATTTTGTCTACTTGATTAATGCTAAATAATATTAGATGGTGCGCGTTACGTAAGTAACGTCGCGATACGAATTTGTTGTATTATGTTATTTGCATCATATTGATTGGGAGCTTCCAATAGTTCGTCGGATTTTGGCCAAACCTCTCTCATTAATTATAAATAATCGTTATTCTCAATATCGCTGTTGTCAATACAGTTATTAATACCGTTGTTATCAACAATATAGTTATTAACCACATAATTATTAACCCTTTTAGTGCCGGGCGAAAAAGAGGTGCTTATGCGAAGATAACCGGCCGAATTTTACGATTTTACTAGGATTTGGAAAAAGGCTCATAAAAACCAAACGAAAAGCAATATTTAAAAATTATTTATTTTAATTCTCTCGTAATGAAATTAGAGTATTTATAACGTATTATAAATTTATTTTGAGATAGAGATCTCTCGCAATGCGAATAGCAAAGAGCTACAAGGTGCGAGCCGATATATCGGCCTCCGGTACTAAAAAGGTTAACATCGTCATTATTGATAACCTAATGACAACGGAACCGTACACGTAACGTTCAGTCCGAGTATCTCCCATAGTTATTCGACATTTCTTGCCACTTTTCAGACGATTGTCTGATTCCGTGTCCGCGAAATGACTCAGCCGGCCCGAGGAATGTTTTGAAAGCTCCCAATAATTGCGGTAATAAGAAGCGGAAAATCGAATGCGAACTCGGAAATGTGAAAATCCCCTTTGCAGAATCTGGATCTTAACGAGTGGGGTGGGGGGAAGGCGGATTTCTTCAACGTGGAATTCTTTCTTTGCAGATCAGAAGGTGTACATTCAGGGCGCCGCGGCGACGCCCGTTGAATTGTTGAGAGCGATGACCGACTACGGTGTACGCTGCGACGTGAGAAACGTCCGTTTATATCACATGCATCTCGAGGGGGCCGCTCCGTTCACCAAGCCAGAAAACGCAAGTACGCATCGCGATACCCCTGCTGTAACTCCTCCGTCTTTCGAAAAATATCTCGAAGAACAACTCCGATCGAAAAGATGTTTTCCGCGCTGCCAAAAATCGTGACGAAGAGCTTAAATCCTGGGAATTGCGACGTTTGGTAGCGTCGGAGACCTTTCTGCCGGGAATTATGTTACAATTTGGCGCTTGGAGGAAAAGACCGAAGGTTTACTACATTTATTATAAATCCGGACTTAACGTCGACGTCAGACGCGCGTTTTGAAGTACCAACGAACCCGTGTATGCTCAGGAACGTGCCGTGAATGTTGTTTTCCATTTTTTTCAGAACACTTCCGATCCATCAGCTTGTTCATCGGCGGCAACGTGCGGTCGGCGGTGAACGCCGGCACCGCCGACTGCATTCCCATCTTCCTGCACGAGATCCCGCGTCTGTTCAACCAGGGCTACATCAAACCCGATCTCTCCCTCATCCACGTGTCGCCGCCGGACGATAAGGGCTACTGCTCCCTCGGCACCAGCGTGGACAGCGTTCGGTCCGCCGTGAGTCATTCCAAACGTATCGTAGGTAAATCTCCTCGATGGCGAATCGTATCGCCTTCCTGAATTCGTTCCCACCCTCTCGTGAGGCGCAGTTTGAAGAGAGTGCGTGTCCTCTGCACGATGTCTTTGCAGCCTTAGTCAATAAGCACATGCCTAGAACCTTCGGTGACGCTATCATACACGTCAGCCACTTGGACTTCGCCGTGGAGCATCACCAGCCGCTGCCGGTGCATCCGGTGAAGGCGCCCTCGAAGGCCGAGCAGATGATCGGCAAGTACATCGCCGAGAATCTGGTCGTGGACGGCGCCACGTTGCAGCTGGGCATCGGCAGCATACCCGACGCCGTGCTCTCGTTGCTGGGCAATCACAAGGACCTCGGGATTCACAGCGAGATGTTCAGCGACGGCGTGGTCGATCTCGTGCACAAAGGCTGCATCACGAACAATCAGAAGAAGATGCACAAGGGCAGGATCGTCGGCTCGTTTTGCGTCGGCTCGGAGAAGCTTTACGACTTCATGCACAACAACCCCTTCATAGGTGAGTATCGGTCTCTCTCTTTCTCGCTACCTTGTTCGCCGTTCCTTTTCTTCACCCTCTTTTCGACGTTACTTCGAGTCTCAACAACGGCTGTTCTCTCGCGTCACAGAGATGCTGGTAGTGGATTACGTCAATGACCTCAGAATAGTCTCGAAGCAGCCGAAGATGACAGCTATAAACTCGTGCATCGAGGTGGACATCACCGGTCAGATCTGCTCGGATAGTATCGGTACGAGGATGTACTCCGGCTTCGGGGGCCAGTTGGATTTCATCATGGGCTCGGCGATGAGCGAGGATCAACTGGGGAAGCCGATCATAGCGCTCCAATCAGTCACCGCCAAGGGCCAGAGCAAGATCCAGCCGGTTCTGACATTGGGTAAGTGTAAAGTTTTCACGGGAACGAGGGCTTTCACGTTGTTGCTGCAACGTTGTCAACGTTATCCGTTCACAGGCGCCGGTGTGGTCACAAACAGAGCAGTGGTGCGGTACGTCGTGACGGAGCAGGGTATCGCCAGCCTGTTCGGCAAGAGCCTGCAGCAGCGGGCGTACGAGATGATCAAGGTGGCTCATCCCGACCACAGGGAGACCCTGGAGAAATCGGCCTTCGAACGCCTAAAAGTGATGCCCGCGCCGTAAATTGAACCAACGCTGAGTCAACACACACACACACCGAAACATGATATTCAATAGCATTTTTACGATCGGTCGTGGTTATAGTCCCGGGCGTGCTTAACCCGCATGCCAGAGAGGAGACGAAGTGTCTTCACCTTGTACGATGTTCGCGCTCTCTTGCCCGAAGACAGTTCGTCTGCCTACTTCGAGAGATCCTACCTGTGAGTAAAGAGGGGGAGGGGGAGATCCGGAGAGGCTCGAGGGAGAGCACGATGCGTACCGGATCGTGATTCTAAAAAAAAAAAATAGTGTTAAATTTTAACATTACTTATGTAAGAGTCGGTAACGCGTTACGCGTGTTTAGACATTATGAACCACGCGTGTTTTATATAATACGATATTGCAACGGGAGGGGGGGGAGGGCGACGCGTTCGGCGTGTTTGGCGAACACGTGCTCGGACAAGTAGAAAGTGGCGCGCACCGGCGTCGCATTCCGAGACACGAGACATTTTTTATATATTAAAATCCGTCGACGTTCCTTTGTATAATTTCCAATGTTACCGTTGTAGAACGACGAAACCGAAGTACTGTTACGCAAACGAGAAATATAATGAGAACGCTGATATCGTTGGTATTTTATTGTGCACACACACACACACACACACACACACACACACACACACACACACANCACACACACACACACACACACACACACACACACACACACACACACACACACACACACACACACACACACACACACACACACACACACACACACACACACACACACACACACACACACACACACACACACACACACACACACACACACACACACACACACACACACACACACACACACACACACACACACACACACACACACACACACACACACACACACACACACACACACACACACACACACACACACACACACACACACACACACACACGTCACATTCTCGTGGATTATCTCCTCATTGTAATAACAAAGAAGCTCGGAACGGGACATTCGTGGGAAAGTTCAAATCGATAGTTTTCGCCGGGCCAACCGCGCGAACATCGGTCGAAAAATCGAACCGCCGCCAACTCAGATGTTCGAGGCGTTTTCTAGCGAGGAGATGGCAACGGCGGATTCGTCTCGTTTGACGTTTACGGTCGGCGTGATCCTTTTTTAGCTGATATACGTGTACATACATCACGGGAATTTTCTCGCACGGCCTATCCGTCGCTGTCCCATTTAGCGAAGGATCTCGTCGTAATTGACTCGCTACAACGTGAGGGCATCGTCAGACGATGAGAAGATGTTCCGGAATCTGAGAACGGTGCTCGGCAGGATTTGTCACGCGAAGCCTTTCCACTTATGCGAACGCCGATACTTACTGAGGGAACCCTTCCACCCGTTGAAACGGTGTCCGAAATGGGTTTGCGTGGAGGACGCGGTGAAGATCATAAATTCAGGTGCTCGTGACCATAAATCACACGTTGTATCACACGATAGCAAGACAGTCCTCAATTACCTGGCGATTGATTAAATTCACATCTCCAAAATCACATTTAACTCGTATGTTACGTTAGAGTGCGATAAAACTGTCAACTTGGTTACTTAGCCACTCAATTCTTATCTTGCGCACGCCGCTGCTGCTGTACCTCGGCATTAGTAGCCACGCTAGATGCAGCAAAAGTCTTTCTTAATTATATCCGACTGTTACTTGCGGAATTGATCTCTCATGTTAGATTCGAAATATAACTATGAATTGATCTCTCACGTTAGATTCGAAATAAAACTATGAATTCGGTATCACTACACACTTGGTTTACCTGATTTCCAATTTGTCATCTCACGAGTGTTGCGTCGCTAAATTTACACGCTTTTATCCATATTGGCAGCGAAAAATGTTTCATTGCTCAGCGTTCATTCGCGAAATTCATCCCCGCTTATCTTACGTTAAGAGTGCAAAACTACAAATTCAGCCATTCCGTGTCTTATCTCCAACTTCCGATTATCTTCATCCAACCGTCTTCACGAATCACTTCCAGAGCACCTTGTCTTCGTGCAAGGCGGCGCGGCTACGCCGGTGGAGCTCGTGCGCGCCATGACCGAGCACGGGCTGTGCAACAATCTGCGCAGCGTCCGGTTGTTTCACATGTGCCTCGAGGATGACGCGCCGTTCGCCAACCCGGAATTCGAGAGTACGCTATTCGCAGTAGCACGACGCGCGCCGCTCAAACCAACGGGAAACTGATAAGTAACGCACGGTCTTACGTTCAAGAGCACTTCAGATCCATCAGCCTCTACGTCGGCGCTAACGTCAGGGAGGCGGTGAACGACGGACGGGCGGACTATATCCCGATATTCCTGCACGAGGCGCCGAGGTTGTTCTACGAGAAGCAGCTCGTGCCCGACATCGCGCTGATTCACGTGAGCACGCCGGACGCGCGTGGCTTCTGCTCGCTGGGCGTCAGCGCGGATTGCACCCGCGCTGCGGTCTGCACCGCCAAAATCATCGTCGGTTCGTATCAGAAACATCAACTCCTGCGCTTAACTTGACAAAATTGAGAGAAATTTGCGAAAACTAGCATTTATCGGCTTTGAAATTAATATCATCGAGTATCGGACAAATAAAATCACTGAAGTAACAAAGCACCGAAGCGAATAATTCACGCTACACTTCGCGTTTCTTTTTTTTTCTTTTTTTTCTTAATTAACGCTACTCGATGTTTCTCCTTCAGCGCAAGTGAACGAGCACATGCCGAGGACGCACGGCGACACGGTGATCCATTCGAGCCACTTCGACCTGGCGGTGAAGTACGACTGCCCCCTGCCCTCCGTGGCGTCGACGCAGCCCAACGAACTCGAGTATGAGATCGGCAAGCTCATCGCCCAGCGACTGATCGACGACGGTGCGACGCTGCAGCTCGGCATAGGCAAAATTCCCGACGCGGTGCTGCACGCCCTGTCGTACCACAAGGATCTGGGTGTACACTCGGAGGTGCTCGGCGACGCGATGGTCGACCTCGTCGAGGAGGGTGTCATTACGAACAGGAATAAGAAGAAGCATCGCGGACGCATGGTCGGCTCGATGGCGGTCGGCACGAAGAAGCTGTACGATTTCTTGCACGCGAATCCGTTCGTCGGTAATTATGACATTCGGCTTGATGATCGTGATTTCGCTCTCGTCAACTACGGAGAGGAGTGTCCTCGTAACCGCTTTCGTAAACGACCGTCACGTTAGAGATGTTGGCGTTGAATTATGTGAACGATCCCCGGGTGATCTCGGAACAGCCGAAGATGACGGCCGTGAACTCCTGCATCGAGATAGACATCACCGGTCAGGTGTGCTCGGACAGTCTCGGCTGTAAGATATACTCCGGCTTCGGTGGCCAGTTGGACTTCGCTCAGGGCGCCGCGAAAGGTGAAGACGGCCATGGGAAAGCCATCATCGCGTTCCCCTCGGTCACGAGCAGCGGGGAGAGTAAGATACAGCCGGTGCTGAAAAACGGTATGCGAGAGCGCGACTTGGCGAACCGAGTTTCCGCTTCGTCTCACGAAGACCGACAGATTTGTTTTACCCGAAGCTCGCCTCGCGCGAGACACTCGGTTGGGTTACATACTTCTTCCGTTCTAAAGACAGAGGATGGCGAGCTAGCTCAGCTAGAAATACGCGAGTATCTCGCTTGAGACAAGCTTCGTGCGAGATTTTCGTGTCGGAAAAGTATCGTCAGTTCCCACGAATTCCCATCGCAGGAGCCGGAGTGGTGGTCACGAGGGCCCACGCGCATTACATAGTCACGGAGCACGGCGTGGCGCAGCTCTTCGGCAAGACGCTGCGGCAGAGGGCGAACGCGCTGATTCAGATCGCGCATCCCGATCACCGGGAGTGCCTCGAGAAGGCCGCGTTCGACCGGCTGAAGACCAATCCAACGAAATATCTGTAACTCCTTCGACGTGGCTTGTAAATAGATACGGTCGTGCGCAATATTTCCAAGTGCCGGTAGCGATCGCCAAATGTGTGCGCGCTAATTCTATGTTCGAGTCGATACGTTTTACGTCATGTTTTGTGAAGTAGGAGCAACCATTCGTGCCGAATCCCGCGCGAACGGCTGTGTTCTCTCGTCAATGTTTTGTTATCCCGACGCTAAAACAAGAAACTGTAAGCAACATGTTGTCGGCTTGAAAATTGACGATGACTTGCAACTCACCAAGTTGTTTAATATCTCTCTCTCTCTCTCTCTCATTCTCATACTCTCGGATAAATTTACACAGGTGATATTTTATCTCGACGAAACAAATATACGTAACAATACTGTACAGAATAGTAACAAACGTCGCAAAAATATTGCATAAATATTGCAAACTGATGTGTTAAGTAACACGCGTTTAAATATCAATGAGAAATACATGTGCTGCAATGATAGGAACATTCGCTTATGCTTACACATAATTACAATATCGTCCTCGATCATTCTTATAAGATACTAGTCTAGCCTAATTAATGTAACGTGGGAAAATCTCAGTTCGTGTAAGTGAAGAGGCACCGGTCGGAGAAGAACGGGATATCTTTGTTGCTGCGATTGACAACATTCGTCCGAACATTCAGCTGTATTGAAACTCGGTGAAGCAAAACTGATTGAACGGAGAAACATTCCACGGCGGAGTACGTATAAAACGGTTCCTGAAATCATATTTCCCGTCTGGCTCCAGTTCTTCCCACACCGGAAATGGGAGCACGGACAGCAAGTGGAAGGTCCCGGTTTCGATTTTCTAGGCTTAATCTCGCGCATTTTTTCCCCTCAGACTCTCGAACAGATATTACTCTCTCTTTCTCTCTCTTTCTCTCTCTCTATCTCTCTCAGACTTCTATAAATTTAATCCTTACAGATGGAGATCCTAAGGATTATAAGTATCTTTTATTTGGGAATATAACAAAAACAAAATGTTAGAAATCTATACCTTCCGGTAAAGTTCCCTCCTGCCGTCTCTTATCGACGTTTTCGTAATACTCCGAGAAATCGACGTAGGGCTTGATCTTGGCGTTTCGATCTGTTATTCTGGCGTTAGGTGGATACATGTCCGACGTAGTCGTCGAAGTCTCGGTCGTGGACGTGTCGAAGTTGTCGTCGGTGATACCGGTGCCGGTACTCGAGAAGTCTTCGTTATCTGGTATGGTCCTGATCGGTGCGGTCTGCACCACGGGATTGAATCTGACGGACTGGCTGGTCGGGCTCTTCAGAGCGTGCGGTAGCGGGAAATTGAAGTTCCGCACCAAGAGTGTAATGTCGTCTCGTTTGCCGCTGGTCAGGGTGCTCATGTTCACGTCATGATGAATTCTCACTATCTTGTCCACTACCGCTTGAGCAACGCCAGTCAAAGTTGATTGTACTCGAAACTGGAATTGAAGGTAATTAAAAAAAAAGAAGTAATAAAATAATCAGACTTTTGAATTTATATTGAAGTACTATCTACTGTTTATTCAGTTCAAGCAGTAGAGAGAGAGAGAGAGGATACATTTTTACCTTCCCTGAAGTGAATTAGTCGAAAGTGAGAATTCAAATGTCTTCAAGTTATGACATTTTTAGGACAGAGGGAAAATATGCGACTGACCTCACCAAAGTTCGTTAAGACATGATTAACAGTACGGGTTTAGTGAACTTTGCTCTGATTGGCCAAATGTCAATGTAATTTCAACCCTAAACCGTAGTGTGATTACGTATTTATGTCACTCAGGTCGAGATAATACCTGTTCAACCGCTATTAGAGCCAATTCTTTGTTAACTTGTTCGGTGCCGGTCGCTTCCTCCAACGACTTGTACAGGCCACGTGACATGAGCAACAAGAATCTGCAGGATTCATCCAGCTCGATACTGCCATGGATCTCCGGTTCTGCGATAATGGGTTCCGCCGCAGAAGATGCCAGTTCTTCGAACTCCCTGTATCCTCCCTTGACGAGATAATTACCGAGACAGCGTGTGTTTTCCTGATTTCCAAGGTGAGAACCTTCAATATATCGCTTCCTATTTACCGGAATCTTTTCTTCTTTAACGAGAGCCTAAATAAATCAGATCAAACGTACCTTGTCTGACCGATTCGACGTCCAAACCTAACTGAGACAGTCGCAGCAGCTCGTCCTCGTTTCTCAAGTCATGGTCCACGCTTAATTGCACGACTCTTAGGACTTGATTGCTATCTGTTTTGCATAACAATGCCCTACTGTCACCGACATTCGCGACGTACAATCGCCCTTTAAATACCAAAGCAACCACGGCACTGGTTCCAGCAGACAGTTCGCAATTTAATGCATTTAGCTTGTCAACCTGAGGAAGAATAAATTATATGAGTAATAAATGTCAAGGATTCATATTCAATTTTAAATATCACATGACTAACCAAGTCTGGAAACTTCTGATATGTTTCATAAGAGTTCAGTCCATCGGGAATATCAAATTGTAGACTAGTACGTTCCGCCAATAGATCACCTATTGACTCCAAATATCCTTTTTCAACTGCTATGAATGCCTGTCTGTACACAGAATAAATATTTTGCACACAGTCAATAAAACCGTTATCTTTGTATATTACATACATAATGTATACATTTTATATTATATTGTATGTTACATTGATATTTACCGGAGAACCTCTTTTACTTCTTCGTCAGTTGCCTTGCCAATCAGCTGTCCGAGTAAGATTTCTGCAGCTATTCTTTGCATAGCAAAATTAGCTGCTTTGGTACCTTCATGACCATCAAATACACCGTAAAGAAATGTGGAGTCGTCGTATCTGCAGTGAAAACTGCGATCTTCGAATGGATGCTCCTCTTGTCGATACCCATCTTCCCGATATATCTGATTGGTGGAAAAACCCACTCCTGGATCGTAACATAAAGTAGTATTATATAAAAATAAAAGAAACACAAAAAAGTATATATATATCGATATGTAAATAATTAAATAATTAAGGCATATCACGAATAATATATGTTTTATAACTTTATAACTATACCTTTTAAAGTTCGCCAAATAAATAACTCTTTTCATTGACAATATCAATGTTATTGTTATTAAGTGTGTAAAAAAATTTTAGTCTTTTTTAGCAAATTTTCACTTTTATATGGTCGACACATTACAACTTTTGCACATACTTAATAAACGTTAAATTTCTAGGTTATAATATGAAGATAACAAAATAAAGCATACCGGATTGTTTGCAAACTGGTAAATCGTCCGTCCAGTTGTACTGACTATCCTGAAAAGGCATCGAAGCCGGCCGTTCTGCCCCCGTAGGCATTTCTATATTTTATTTTAACTCATAGCAGGCGAAAATGAAGAAACTATCTTGTAAAATGTTATTTCGCTAAAATTAAGCTGCGATTTGATCGTCGTCTCTTGTCCGACTTATGGTAGTTTAGACGTACTTTTTCAACGGAATTGACCAATCGCATTCATCAGCTAATTGGCCAATACGATTGGTCGTTTCGGTTTTAAACGAAGTTGGTGAAAATCATCCTTAACCAATCAGAGGAGACGGGGTCACGTGACGAGTTTACCATTCTTTTCTTATGAGGAACTCTGTTTACTCTAGGAAAGTCGTTTCATTGGCTAAAGATTGTAAATAATCTTAAGGTCAAACCGATGTCTCCGATTTACAAACGCAGCTTTATTTTACGACTATTGTAAACGGTCCTTTATGTTTGTGATTACGCCAAATCGTGTGCAAAAGATGTATGTTCGTTCTTTTATAGAAAGAATATGTAAAGTAAAATTATAATTAATAGTAAAACGTCAGAGTGTATATAATTTTCGAAGAACTTGACGATATTCTCTCCAAAATTGTCTACAATGAGTGAAAATAATCAGGACAATTTTGAGCCTTCAGTAAAGGTAACCTCATACGTTATAAATTTCTTCGATTTAACGAATTATTTAATTCACCACCGTTGTATTGAATTGGCAATTATTTTTGATGTAGAAGTACAGAAGAGAGGAGGAAGAAGATAGTCCTTTAGACACAGACGATGAGTATGTGCCGTACGTACCTGTTAAGCATCGTAAGAAACAATTGCTTACCAAGTTGGGTAAGCTCGGGCAGTTGAAAGAGGAAGGTACCAGTGCCCTTGGGAAGAGCAGTAGTGAGAATGAGAGAGATGATGCTGACAACGACGATGGACAAGTCTGGGGAAGGAAGTCCAATATTTCTCTTCTGGATCAACATACCGAACTCAAAAAACTGGCTGAAGGTATTAAACTCGATGCGTGGAAAGTTAAAAAAGACTAGCATGACTAGGAACTTGTGCATATAAAATCCTTGTTGTAATATTTTAGCCAAGAAGGAGAGCGCTATGGAAAAGCAATTGAAGGAGGAAGAGAAGATCTTGGAGAGTGTTGCTGAGAATAAAGCTTTGATGGGCGTAGCTGAATTGGCGAAGGGTATTCAGTACAAGGATCCTATCAAGACTAGTTGGCACCCATCAAGAACGATACTCCATTTGGGAGAAATACGTCACGAACGAGTACGAAGAAAGCTCAGGATACTTGTGGAAGGTGACGAGGTGCCGCCACCCTTGAAGAGCTTCAAGGAGATGAAATTTCACCGAGGAATCCTGTACGGGTTGGAACAGAAAGGAATCATCAAACCAACTCCCATTCAAGTTCAAGGCATACCTACGGTGTAAGTTCTTTTTCACATTCATTTATATCCGATATCGCTGTGCTTTAAAGCTCCTGTGTCCCCGCCACGGCCGTCTTGTTTTATGATGTTAAATATTATTTTATGGATATCTTCTTTTTTTTTAAATATATATCACAAAAATTCCGGACATACATTTCCTCACTTCTGTCGTCATTAAACAAGATTGACGCGAGGGATTAGGAATCTTTAGAGTTTATAAAACAAATCAAAGAGAAAATGCTAATATTAAACAATTGTAGGTTGTCTGGTCGTGACATGATCGGCATAGCTTCCACCGGTAGCGGTAAAACATTGGTATTCGTTTTACCTATTATTGAGTTTTGCCTGGAACAAGAGTTGAATATGCCGTTCATCAAAAAGGAGGGACCCTATGGTAAGCATTTATATAAAAATTATTAGATGGAACAATACTTCGTCATAACGAAAACGTATATCTTTTTATCTTTTTGTTCACAGGTTTGATAATATGTCCTTCGAGAGAATTGGCTAAGCAAACCTACGACATAATTCGACACTACACCACCAGCTTACGACAAGCGGACTGCCCGGAGATACGTAGCTGTTTGGCGATCGGAGGTGTGCCGGTTTCGGAGTCATTAGTGACCATTAACAAGTCAGTATTCATTGTCGTTCGACTCTCTCTCTCTCTGTTCGTATTTTCGATATGTTCTTTCTCAATGTCTGCGACATTAATCTGTAATATGCGTTTTGTACAACTCACAGAGGAGTGCATATAATGGTAGCAACACCAGGGCGGCTGATGGATATGCTACACAAAAAGATGGTCACCTTGAGCGTGTGCCGTTACCTTTGCATGGACGAGGCGGATCGTATGATAGATATGGGCTTTGAGGAAGACGTGCGAACGATATTTTCATTTTTTAGGGTAATCATTCCCCCGGTTATTGTGAAATCCTAGAGACGCTCATTTGAGCGTCGCTTATCAAGAGAAAATGCAAGTTGCTCAATACTTATCGTTTCTTACCGCAGGGTCAAAGGCAGACGCTGCTGTTTTCCGCCACCATGCCGAAGAGAATTCAAAACTTCGCACGCTCGGCGTTGGTGAAACCCGTGACGATAAACGTCGGGCGCGCCGGCGCCGCTTCGATGAACGTGATACAGGAAGTCGAGTATGTCAAGCAAGAGGCTAAAATTGTCTACCTCCTGGAATGTCTCCAGAAGACCGCGCCGCCGGTGTTGATATTCGCGGAGAAGAAGCGCGACGTAGACGCCATCCACGAATACCTGCTCATCAAAGGAGTGGAAGCTGTCGCGATACACGGAGGCATAGGTGCGTTTTCTCCCGAGGCGCTGTTAATAAATCTTACTAGCGTTTCAAAATTGAAATATCACACGCAACCGAATCGAACATTGATGGCGTAACGTTTATTCTTATTTTTCTACCATGACCTGGTTTCTCATTTTCTGGTTAACCTGTGGATTAGACCTAAACTGATCATGCGAAAATTGTACTTTTCTATTCATGGTTTTTTAACTAACTATGAAACTAACTATGAATAAAGAAAAACATAGTTTTTGCGTCATCATCAGATTAAACCTGAACTACAAATTAATGGAAAACTGGGCCTGCGTGAAGTACGAATATTGTTACTTACAGATCAGGAAGAGAGATCGCGTTCCGTCGAGGCGTTTCGCGGAGGTCGGAAAGACGTGCTGGTTGCGACGGACGTTGCGTCCAAGGGTCTCGATTTTGCCGATGTGCAACATGTGATTAATTACGACATGCCCGACGACGTGGAGAATTACGGTAATATATCGTCGATATACCCGAGAATTTACCGTAACAGAAGGTAACCGCACGGACGTTAACGCATCTCTCTTAATACAGTTCACAGGATCGGACGTACCGGTCGTTCGGGACGCACCGGCATCGCGACGACTTTCATCAACAAGGCGAACGACGAATCGGTGCTACTGGATCTCAAGCATCTGCTGATGGAGGCGAAGCAGAAGGTGCCGCCGTTCTTGTTGGAACTCTGCTCGGAGAACGAGAAGTACCTCAATCTGGGAGGTAAGATTGTTACTCATTATAATACACACGCCTTTCTTCTCAAATCGGACTCGTATCCACCTGCGAATTTGAAGATACGGAGAGATTTACATTCCTTTCCCTTCGTTACAGACGAACGTGGTTGCAGTTACTGCGGCGGTCTTGGTCACAGGATCACCGAGTGTCCGAAACTGGAAGCCGTGCAGAATAAGCAAGCGTCGAACATCGGGCGTCGCGATTACTTGGCTAGTAACGCGGCGGATTACTAAATGTCGAGATTTTCGTTGCAACATTTTTTCTTTTCGATTAATCTCGCAACGTATCTCGTGTCCAGGAAAATGTATCTCCTGAGAATTGCTGAAAAACAAATTCGTTGGACACGGGATGTGTTCCGAAACTAACGGAAAAAAGCATCGCGACTTTTTCACAACCGACCGCACGTATTTTAACTGTACATATGTATATATAAAAAGATTCATTTGTATTGCGTAGTTTATAGGAATAAAATATACGTAATGAAATAAAGGACTCCGCATGAAAAAATAACATTCGTCATTGCACGGAAAACGGATAGACAAGTGCGAAAGGATGTGCCCGCAACTGCGGGGCTAACTTCAGGGACTCTCGTCTATCTCCACGAAGAGATGCGAGAGCGAAACAAAAGCCGTATCATCTGTCACGCGTGACTTCCTCGCGTGCTAAGTTGCACAAATCCTTCAGGCCCATTGTAATTCCAAATTCCCGTGCACAATGACGAATCAATCCAGCTGGCCTTAACCGGGGCCCACCCAACGTCTGGGATGAGTTATCTAAGATCGCAAGTTTCCGCAACATGAAAAGATATCGAATCAGCCGTCCGAGCGCCAAGGGGAATCGTCGCGCCAAGCAAATCCATTCTTCAGGAACTTCATAAAGCACCCTTTCACGAGGTCTCTACGTTTCTCTTTAAATCACTCAGTCAGTTTATCGTTTACTATTATCTTTTCCAATAGCGCCGAACCTCGTGCCTACACGAGGCGGGGACGCGTTGATAATGACTTCTTTCTCGCATGTCAAGAGTCACTTAGTACCGAGGACGATCAACGATGGCGACCCGGAGACGAATCGGTGCGCCCGGCCTCACGAAAACGCAAGCGATGCGGCAGGCGAGGTCGGCCGCTCTGGTAAAGGAATATGAACAGAAGAAGGAAACGGGAAGGCCGCAGCAAGTAGAACCACAAGTGGTCGTAAGGCGCAAGCATGTCGTCGCTGAGCCGAAAAAGGTCGAATTTACCAAGCCGACCATGACGAAGGCGATGTTGGCCCGGGTGAAGCACGCGGAGAAGTTCAAGCAAGAGTACGAGCGTAAGCGGGAGGAAGCGCTACCCATGCGAAGGGCACCGAGAAGGACTCTCGCTCCGGTCAGCGGTGATGCCAGGTCGGTCATCTTCGAAAATCACTCGGTTCTTCGACCACTAAGCATCACTCAAACGATTGTAAATTTGACATATTGCGCGTTTGCAAAGTTTTCAGTCTTTTAGTTATGTATAAACAGAGTGAAAATGAAAATAAGAACAAAGTAGAAGTAAAACCAACGATACAATGAAAAATTGGGAAAATGAAAATTGGAAGAAACGTGAAAGTGAAAATGTAGCAAAAACTTGCGGAAAAAGACTAAAAAGCGTTTGCGCGCACACCGGATATTTTGGAAACAATGGCTCAGTTCATCTTGCACGCTTTCGCGCTGGAAGCATTATTCTTTTCTTCCTTCGGCATGTAATGAGAAATGAAGATAAAACGGCGCTTTCAGTACGAGAGCGTGTAAGACGAATTTAACTAATATGTCTCGGAATTGGTGAAACTTCGAGTCGACTATAAAGACCGGATGCAATTTCGAGGGAATCCAATTCCAAGATCCTTCCAAGATCTTGGTAACGAGCGAAATTACACCCGCACGGGTAGATTTGGTAGAGAGAGAGCTGCGAGACGCGCCCCGACGCCGTCGCCGCCGATCTCGCCTCCCAGAGAAGTGAGGAGGCCGCCGCCGCCGCCCTCGCCACCCAGAGAACTGAGGAAGCCGTCGCCGTCGATCTTGGCCCCCAGAGAACTGAGGAGGCCGTCGCCGGTCAGAGCAGAATTGCCGCCTATCCCGGAGAGGACCAGGGAACTGGCGAGGACGATGAACGCTCAAGTGATCCAAGCCGAGCCGGTCGGCGAAGGGCCGATCGACAGCATCGTAATACCGCCGCGGGTGGTGGACGAGAATCGCACCACGATCGTCAGCATCCCCCAACCGACCGTAGAAGGCGCCGAGGCGGTATCCGAAGTGGCGAACCGCTCGATCCAAGTGATCAGGTCGGTGATACTCACGGACACTTAACTGAAAAGTGAACGGACGAAGGCGGGAGGAATCCGCTGCCTCGGTAGATCCTAAAGGACTGGCTTTCACCAAACTCTGATCGAACTAATCAATGAACAATAATGATAATTCCCAGCGCCAATTTCCAGTTCTGTAACGTTCGTGGTCCAGCGATAATCGAAAAGTTAATCATTTCCATCCACGTTTCTATCCATAACGAAACCGAGCGGAGGAAATTTCACTGGCAGCAATTTGAAATCGTCGCGTAATTTGATCGGATTTTTAGCGAAAGTCGTTGAGAATCTATTCCCGATATTAAAGTAGCTTTTACCGGTTGTCATTGGTGCGACGTTGGCAACGTTGTTGATTCACGACCGTATCGTTTGACGCAGCGAGACCCTCGACGAGCAAGATGCGTCGGAGGCTGCCACGGTGCAGGGCAAGCTGGAGGATTTGCAGCAGGCGAGGCGCGATTTTGTGATGGCTGTGGCGAACGTCGGCGGCAATGCCGTGCAGCTCGCCGAAGAAGAGAGACCTAGATACATACAGAGGTGAGGATGATGAGAATGTCATTGCGACGACGTATCAAGTAACAATGATTCAATACCTAGACAGAACAGAAAACGACGTGACAATGACCAAGGAGATGATCGAAAAGTGAGATTAACAGTCATTCTCTCGTAGCTGGGTAAAGGGTGCGGGGGAAAGCTCTTCGGAGTCTCATTGTTGCTCTTGAAAGAACCAAAGCTGAGACGAAGTCTCTTGCTGATCCGGTTTGTCCACGTTTAACACAGAGTCCCCGACATCGAGGGAGAGATGTTCCGCATCGAGTACGGCAGGGAACATCCGACCGTCGTGGCGGCGCGCGAATTTCTTCAAAGAAGCATGGCTGGCATCAGGGAAAGAGAAAGGGAAAGGGAGGCGGCCAGGGAGCCTCTGCTGGAGGATCTGCCGCCCTTCGAGGAGGAGTTCCTTCAGGACGATATACCGTGGGAAGAGCTCGAGGAGCCGCACGAAGAATTCTATGAATATCCAACCTTCGACCCCGAGAGGCTCGAGAGGTTCTTCGACGTATCGGAACGGTATCTGCCCAGTCCGCCACGTGGACCCCCGCCAGGTCGTGAGCATTTACATCCGGATCTGTGGGAGCTGGAGGATCCGTGGGCCGTCCCGTGCCAACACTGCTCGCGGCAGGACGTGTCCGATCTCATCCGCTTCGACAGTCCCTGATCTTCCGTCCTTTGACTTGGCCCCGGATCCCGAGGTGCTGTCGCAGGATGCCGAAGAGGAGATACCCGAGCAGCATCTGGAGAAACGACTGTGTAAGAATCGGAGAGAAAATACGGGAGAAAATCGGAGTTGCTGGAGTTCGATTTCCGATCTTCAGCAATCTCCAACTCCCGATATATTTCGATTCTCTCGACCGGGACCAATTCTGGAAGAAACGCGAACAAAGACGAAATTATTCGACGGGGCGACCAGGGGACTCTCGCACGGTTCTGTTATTATTATTATATGCACGTCGCCCTCTCGGTACTTTGTACTAAGGATATCACAAGGATATTATCAAGGTACCTTCAACTTTCCTACTACACTGCACTGTGCTGCACTTTCTGCGGCGTGTTAACGTCGCTCTTATCATAGCAAACGAGCGCTACTCGGGGCCAATTTCTATCAACCGGAAAGTTTAATCGAAGCCGAGTTTCCAACCTGTGCTTCCAAGTACGCGGAATGATACGACTCGTCGCCTGGAATAAAGTCTCTGCTGATTATAACTTGTTACAGAAGCGTCGTGCAGCGCGGCTTGTCGGCAGGTAACACGTTTCAGTTGTCGATGATTACTTACGCCGCGGAGAAAGTTGCGAATTTTTCTCCGCGATACTCGGATTGTAAGAAATCCGCTCACCGCGCGTCTATATATTCGTTTCAAGGTCGTGCGGATGGACGTGCCTTACTTCACAGCGTTCCTGTCATTCACAGTGATTATCGAGCGTGCGATTACCCTCATACACGGATATGTCATCGACAAACCTCATCGTTAATAAATTAACAGCAGTGGAAACCATGAACGAATGCTTTCAATGTAATTCGAATCTTCGATCGTCAGCGATCGATCGGCGTTTCCGCATCCTCGCGAAACTTCGCGAATCACGCTGTAATCACGTGTAATCATCTTTTATCGGACGTTGCATGAGCAACGTTAAAACGTCCGTTACATGAGCGCGAATTCGCCCCTCCCGACTCGGTAACAGTGAAACTCGTTATGCGAGGATAATGGACACGTCAATCGATCGAGACGCTCTGTCAGATCGAATATCCGTCACCCGAGCGTGACGAATCGTCGAGCGATATTACTCCTTCGCGTTATCTACCTTCCGCGGTATCAGAAAACGATCTCGCCGGAGTGACGCGGTCGAACCTCCATTTTCGCGCTCTCAGAAATTTCCCCTCCCTCCCCACCCCCTTTCTCNCTCGCGCGAGAAGGAGCGGCAAAATATGAACGTAGCTTACGGGTTCGTTCTACTCGCTCGGTCGCGGCTGTTCACGCGGCCTTTTTTTCCCGCCTCATCGTGACTCAGCGGCCGAACGTGCACTTACCTCATGATAAATGCAAACGAATGTGTATGTGTGAGTAAAAACGTCAAAGCTGGAGGGAGAACTATGACCGGCGTCGCGCGACTATCTCTGCGTGTGGGTGTGTGTGTGCGTGTATGAGAGGTTGACAACGGTTTGCGCGCGCACGATTCATGGCGGCCGCGAGTCGTCGTACGGAGCCCCGTTCGTGTGCAGGCGACGGACAGTTCCTCGGCAGTTTCTCGGCGGATAATCGTCGTTCGTGCGCGTCGGCCCGCAGCAATCGTGAGAGTGGTCCTCGCGTGCGACGAGCCGTAGGGTCGCAGAGCCCGGTTTCACGCCCGAATCGTACCAAACAGCCGGCAAGACGAAGCTCAAAATGCCACTGGTGAGTCTATCCTCCTTCTCTCTCTCTCTCTCGCTCTCTCTCTCTCTCTCTCTCGCTCGCTCGCTTTCTTTCTCGCGTTCAACCAACCGTCCGCGTTCTCTCCGTGGCTGGCTGGTCTGGCTGTCATCCAGCTCGATCGAAACGCTCCTGCTCTTCGCTTCCGCCTTGGAGATCCGTCTTTCTCCTCTCGAGGATGTTCCTCCTCGTGGACTTGGTCCTCGCACGCTAAACGATTGTGCGCGAAACTAACGACAATGCGACTGCCCGTCTTCGCGATTTTCGAGGTGAGACCCTGGGTGCGGTTATTGTGGTTATCCACGGCGCACAGCCGAGAGAGGCTGAGAATGAGAGGAAATTCGAGCGTCGGTGAACGGCGAAACTCGGCGAGACCGGAGGAGTTCATCGTCGGATTTCGTTTTCCGCGGGGACAGCCTGTTTAAGTGGCTCGCTTAAAGGGGTCACAGTTGTGTCATGGAAAAGTGTGTCAGTGTAGATCAGCTGACATGGCGATGTCAAACAATGCAACTCCGACAATTTTCGGTATCAGCAGTGATAAGAAGTTATCTTTGTTATTCTTTGTGACCGTTGAGAAACTACGGAGAGCTCGGAGGAGAATGAAGCTTTCAGTAACGGGGAATACGGGGCCTGACGATGCATTTTTCAACAGCGACCGTAATCAGTCGTGCATCTTTTCAGGGCAACCACGCTGCCCTGGAGGACATGGCGGCGGGACGGGGGCAGGCGGGCGGAGGGCCTCCTCCAAACTGTCAGAAAGTTTTTATACAACGTGACTACAGCGAAGGCACTATGGTTAAGTTCCAGACGCGGTTTCCAACGGAACTGGAAAGCAGAGTGAGTAACCGCGATTGTCGAATCAAATCGACTCGTCCCGATACTCTTTCTCAACCCGACAAATTACCCGGCGAACATGACAGCATATTAATGAGACATCGAATAACGTATCAGTGCATTGTCATATTCACCGGGTAACATCGATCGGTCTAGCATAACCTACGATTACCAACCGGTACCGGATTTCTCACGACGTGGTGTCCCCTGATTTTCAGCTGGACCGACAGTCTTTCGAGTACACCATCAATCAGTTGAACAGTTACTTCGCAGAGGCGGAGAGACCCAGCTGCAGAACGTACTGCGAGGGCTGCCTGGCCTGCATCACGGGTTACTTGTTGTACATATGCAAGGAGACACATTACGAGAAGTGTCTGCGGAAGGTGGCGAAGTTCGTCAGCGAGCAGAACGACAGGGTCTATAAGCCGCGCGGCCTCCTGCTGACGGACCCGACGACGCGCGGGCTCAGGCTAATAGAGATCTCGGTACTGGACCGACCTGCGTCGTGACTGCATATTAGCCGATCCAGGGAGTTCTTCATGTGACCCGCGCACTACTCCGGTGGTTACCTCGCCCGGATCACGGACATACACGCGCTCGTGAATGCCTGCCGGCACAATTACGTCGCGTACCGCCTGGTTTGAGCCAAGTTGCCAAGGTGCAAGGTGCATATATACGCCGGCGATATCGCCCGTGCACGATCGACGAAGCTGCGCGCGCGTTTTCCTGGAGGAGCCTCCGTAGTGTTGTTCTCCGTTGACGACGTGTAGCGCGACGACATGTAGTCGCGCGTTCGCGCTCCAGGTACACCTTGCACGATCAGTTCTTGCCGAGTGCGTGCCCCGATGAGCCCGAGCTCCTCTCTTGCTCGCACGGGTCGAGCTTCGTACTTAGTCCTAAGGTAAATGTAGCTCGCGATACGCATTTACAGAAACCGGCGGTATCGCGAGCTACATTTACCTTAGGACTAAGTACGAAGCTCGACCCGTGCGAGCAAGAGAGGAGCTCGGGCTCATCGGGGCACGCACTCGNAATCTAATTATGATAACAAGCTTACAAGGTTGGCCTAATTGTGCGACAGAGGAGTCTCGCGTTCATTGGCACGCACGAGGGGGTAGGGGGGTAGCGTCTCTCGATCTTAACTCGGCAGCTCCTGCACTCGGGAAGAGGGCGAAGCGTGTGTGGCTGTGCGCGTAAACGAAACCGTGGCGCTCTATAAGTTCAATTTTCTATATATGCGTGCAGAAGTAACATACGAAAGTACATAAGGTGTACGTGGCGAGTCGGGGTGCGGCGTATTGAGTCGACGGAGGTGGTGTAAGTACAAAGTGGAACGTCGCGTTCATTATATTGCGTTGTTCACGAGTAAACGACGCCGCAAGAGCGAGCGATTCGCGCGAAAACCGCCACGCCGCGACTTCGCCGCGCACACGGATGAGGTCTACATATTTTTTTACTGTTCATTTACGACTTTATCGTCGCTTGCATTTAATTAAGTGATAATTAACTCTAACGCGAATGAGGCGCGCGTTATTCCGCGAGAATACGGCGTCTTCGACTTCGATATCGGCGCGTGCGAGCACGTCGGGTTGACGTTTCACGCGAGCAACGAGAGCCGAGGGAAAGCCCTCGGTGTCTTCGGCTGAGCTTCGTTCTCTCGGTGTCAGAACGCTGATGAATGATTCTGAAAACAATTCTGAGTTCTCTTATCTTCCGCGATGTATCTTCCATTGCGCTCGGACCCGCGCGCGCGCGCGAAGACGTAAGTTGACTCGCTCGTCGTTTTGCAATACGTACGTACACATATACACACACACACACACATACACACGTGAGTTGACGATGTTAGTCGGGCGGATGGACGCCTCTCGGCGACAAAGAAAATAGGAAGGGAGGAAGATAGATAGATAAATAGATAGGTAGATAGATTGTGGATTCGATCGAAATTACCGGGCACAAATTCGTTGCGCTAAGAAAGAAACCCGAGGATTGGCTAAGAGGGAAATTGTGTAAAAAGCGCTGATAAAAAGTAGGTTACACGTTCTCAATATGGATCGTTCGGCATTGTGATCAAGGATAAGCCGGCGAAACACTTATGCGACGCGGCGTGACGTATTTCTTCTCCTCGTTTTCCCCGTTCTTCTTTTTTCTTTTTCTTCACACAACGTCGTCCGGAAAACGTTCGCCGCAGCCGTTCGAAGCAGCCAACCATCCCCGTGCGTCTCCGCCGGTCTTCGCGAGACTGCTGTCCGTCGGCGGATCGTCGACCTTCTAATCTCCCCCTTTCTCGTCAATTAGTTGTAAACAATAATGATCTCAAACAACGCGGCACACCGCGTGCCATCCACCACCATCGTCGCCACTTCCTCGTGCGCGCACTTTCGGAGCCTAAAGTATCGTAAGAAATACGCAACAAGTGCCGTCGGAAGGGGACGCGTTGCCGACGATTCTCGGCGCGTACTTACCTCGTAACAGGTACGTCGCGAACGTCGAACCGGTCTATTCTCGACGAGTTCACTTTCCGGCACACGCGGGGGACGCGCGCGCACACACACATACATGCATACACACATAGACGCGAAACACAATAAACTTGCGCGCGTCGTGTCGAGCTCGAGAGATCGATTTCGCGTGTCTTCGCCGTGTCTCCCGGGAACTGAACCGAAGTTCGCGAGTCGAGTTCTCTCAATCCTTGGTTGATCATTCGCGATAGTCAGCGCGACACTACCGCGCACGTGGACGATCTCTCTCTCGTCCTTGGTCACAATGGAAGGAAAATGAAAAACGCGGAGCCTATCCGACGTTGTAGTGCGACGTCGCTAAAAGAATCTTGCCAAATCAGCCGTGTCACTGCCTCGGCGTGCGGAGAAGCGAAGGAGGAAGAGGAGGGGGAGAAAGGGAAGAATAAGCAACAGGAGACCGCGTAGAGAGAGAGAAATAAAGAAGTCTCCTACGAGCTCTAGAGAGAGAGTTCGTCGAGAGACGACTGAAAAAAGGGAGACGCCCGATTTCCGTGATCGCGGATCGATCGGTCGACGACGGACATGACGATCCTGGAAACGGGGAGCGACAACGGAGCGAGTCCCGGGCTAAGGAGAGTCTCTCTCGCTCCAATTCTTTTGGACGTCGCAATATTACGTACAATAGGGCTCTGACCTTATGCAGCGCGCATGCTTGCATACAATGTGTATATAGCAAATTAAATTGTCGACACACACACACACACACACAGAGTCAGACAGGTACACACGGAGTAACGAAGAGGAAGCAAACCAAGTTTGTTATACTTAATTTAACAGTAGGACCAATATGATTGATGAGATCCGTAACTGTGTAAAAAGGACACCATCGTACGAGTGTAATTTCTAAATGTTTTAATAATAAAAGAAAACGGCGTAAACAATCGCGCAGCACATCACACGGCTGGCCCGTTCCTCCAGAATCCCATTGTCCCGCGACTCCAGGACAGATCCTTAGAACATCCTTAGGGCAATGTCTTGTCTCTCTAAACATTAAGGATTATATCTCGTATGAATTAAGAGCTATCTCTCGAGGGACAGAGGGAAGTGCGATCGAAGCGATAGGAAGGAGATTATAATATTCCTGGCAATTCCTGGCAACAAGACTTTGTTTTCATCTCTTATCTGAGGATCTGGCGGAAGCTTTACGTCGACCCACCTCGCCAGAGGATCTCGAATAACTGGGATAATTTTTACGGCGCATTCACGCGGACCCTTTTTTTTGTTTTGAGCACATCCAGATTTTATTTAACCATGTGCAACAGTTTCTGATAGGCATATTGATTCTCGCACAGCTATATCAAAAGACTAGAAACCAGTCTCACTCTCAAGTGTCGCTTGAATTCTCAGACTCGGCCGGAAACACACACACAGACACACACATACACGCACACACACACGCGCGCGCGCACACACATACGATGCGCTTTCGAAAGAGATCCCGTCGGTAGGTAAACCGATTTTGACGCCTCACTTGGCTCTTCACGCGCGTTTTAAACGTCGTTCACGAGGGACAAAGACAAAGAAGAAAAAAAGAAGGGAAAAAAGTCGAAAAAGGAGGAGAAAAAGAGAAAGCACGCTGATTCGATTCGACCGCGCGCTGATCTTTGCCGAAAGGAGAGATCGGACGATTTTTCGTCCGATTGAGTATCGCGCGCACGAAACGCGCGGAGATGCGATCGCGCGAACTACGTAATTCGCGTTCGCCGATCTCCCGCGAAGGGTCAATGTACAAAACTCGAACTGGAAATAATCGGTGGACTCGCGATCATGCTTGCGTCACGGATTACGTTTGCTTGCTTGCGTGCGTGCGTGCGTGCGTGCATGCATGAGTTAATCCGATCATTGCCTCCGTTTACGAGCACTGATTACCACCGGGCACTAAAGTGCCGCTCGCGCTGTGTGTACCCACGATCGTGTACACGCGTACAAGCGATGGCATTGGAGAATGAATTGGATTAGAGTTAAAAAGTGACGCTACGGAGAAAGTATAGCGAAGTTGAGCGCGAGAATAAACGCTCCCTCCCGAGGACGCCTTCGACGGAGCGAATGTGTCGCCACGGTGCTTGAATTTCTTGAATTCAACATCCAAAAGGCCGGCCTTCGATCCGGTAAATCGCTCCCACAACGCGAGACGACGCGCGCTCGACGAGGCTAGGATTCACAGAAACTGGAGAAACTGCGAATGCGCAACGACTCTCGTGGTTATTTCGTCATACACAGCGAGACCCCGGTTTGAAGACCCCACAATGCGTTTCCCGCGATCTCGCCGTCGGTCGTCGGTTTTAAAATTCCCTCGCGGGGAAAAGGCCCGCGGAGAGAATGTTGCGCGCATCTCCTTCGGAATAGAAATCGAATTAAAACGAAGAGACGTAAACATCGGAGACGTTTCGTACGGGGGGCATTTAAAACAGGTTGAGATCCGCTCACTTAGCGAGGCGATCCGTTAGAATCTAGAAAATTTAAAACCGCCTCGGACGTGTGATTTCTCCCGCGACTCTCTTACGAAACACGAAGTGTCGCGAATACATATACCTTCTTCCTTGAAACTCCTCTTGCTCGTCCCTAAGACCCGAGATGCTTGAAACTTATTTACTTAAAAAGTGACTTGAGCAACTTTCTCGTTACCTTAAAGCCGCGTCTGGTTGCCTCCGCTCTGCGCGGGAAAGCGGGGAATGTTGGGGCGCGACAACAATATTATTCACGTTCGAGTTCCTCGTTGAAAATTCGCGCGTATCGTGGAGCAGCATATTCGCGAGTCCTTCGTCTCCTCGCACGTGTCCGACCCGTAAGCACGTGTTTACCGATCCCTCCTCCGTCGCCCGTCGAACTGTATACGTATATAATATATAGCCTATAAGAGAGATATATCGAGATGTGATACAAAAAGATTGTCAAAATAGAACTCGTCATCCGACGCCCCGACGTCACGACGTTCACATGCACACACAGCACACCCCCTCGCGCTCTACGATTACGATTATGAGCAATGTCGTTGTGAGGTGCAACGACCGACCATGTTCTAACTACCTAGCCATCGACTATAAATGTACATGTTTGGTTTCTTTCCCTCCCCCCCCCNGTTATCGCCTTAAAATCTACGGGCGACAGTCTTTTCGGGACCCGATGCGAGATCACCTTTTTCCTTCTTCTTTCTCCTCCCCCTCTTCGTCCCCGCCCTCCTTCCTTTTACACGGGATACACGCTCGGTTCTATTCTACGTCCTCACACCGCGAAGGCTCTCGCCATTAGCGTTTTATTAATTCGTTATTTTGATTCGACGATTTCCTACTTCTGACAATGGTACCGTGGAGAATATGCACGTCGGGATCGATAAGATCATCCTCTTCGAGCACGATCTTTCCCTCCAGGAACGATCCCCGGAGGTGGTTGTTACTCAAATATTGACTCGTTTCTGCTTCTACGATTCTCAGCCGGGGGTAATTCTCTCGGTAATTCGATCGGAATTTCTCCCGCTCATTTCTCGATCTGCTTCGGTATTGTCTTCTCGCTCACCACCTGCTTCTTCGAAGCGTTTCTTCGCCGATATTGTCAATCTTTCAAGATCCAATTAAACTCGTCTCGAACATTTGCTTCTCACGAGTTGCGAAATTCATCCTCGCTCATTTCCGTTCTCTTCGTCCTTCCTTTCTTCCACCTCGACCGATTTGAAATCTTGTCGAATGATTACTCTGAACTGCGAGATAGTCGTGGTATGATCATTCCTCCGATCATCACTCGCTCTTTTCGCTTCCCCCCCTCTCTCTCTCACTCTCTCTTCCCAGAGAGTTCTTGATAAGGATTCATTTCCCGTAAGTACTCCGCTTCTATAAAAGTAACTTCGAACAGCTCTCTTCGAACGATCTATCTGGAATAACTGCGGTATCCTTCGACAGTGCTCCTCCGGTTCGCGTGATAACCAAGTAGACAGCGATTCTCCTCCGTCCGGCGATTCACGCCTTCACCACCAGCTGCCGCGTCTGCTACCTGTCGTTAGAGCGACTTTCTAGGTTCACCCTAAAGCTCTCTGCGCTCAATGACAGCTGCGGTAGTTTTACCCGTCGAAACTTGCCAGGCGATTCTAACGTTAAAGGCTCCCCGTCCTCCACGACCTGGAAGCTGCGACGTGCGCCACTAAATACTCGTTTCCAAATCTCGCCACGTTAATGTAGCCATCACTCTGGTATGCTCTCGAGCGTTGTCGAGGTTAGCCGTCAAATGAGCAGGCACAGCTTGTTCCGATTCTTCCGCTCCGGCAGCAACGTCTTCGACTTGCCGGCGTCCTCGGAACTGCTGCGGGTGTAGAGGGACCTGCTGATCCGATGCCGGACACCCTTGCTCAACGTGCGGCCGCCTTTCCTCAACGAGGCGAACCTGCCGAGCGTCGACTTGTCCGGCACCTCCTTCTTGTCGGCATGGGCGCAGTTCAGAGTCGTGACGGTGAACTCGATGTCCTTGGGCTCGTAGGAGACGAACTCTTCCACCGGCTCCTCGATCGTGTCGCGGTCGATCCACGTGAGCCCCATCTCGACCTTCTCCGCGAGATCCTGCCAATGCTTCCTGTTGTCCATCGTGCCCTCGTAGAGCGGCAATATCCACGGGAAGGTCTCCGCCATGACCTTGTAGAGCGGCAGGCAGATCACGTCGATGAAGCCGACTTGCATCTGCGGCAGCTCGTCTCGCCTCTCGCGGTCCATCATCGCCACCGGCTGTTGGTTCAGCTGGAGGCGCTCCAGGTCACCCTGGTCGAAGAACTCGTCGGCCACCAGCTTCGCCACGCGATGTTGCACCTCCCAAGGCTTCGCTATGGCGCTCACATCGCAGGCCGTCATCATCATGCCGCATAACACTGTGCGGAAAAACAGTCGGTTAGTTATGCGGGGTTTTGATTAATCGTCAAGTGGGAATCTCGTGCGATTGTTAACGCGCAATAACGGCTTACATTCCTTCTTCTCTTCGCTCTGCCAGTCGAACTCGCCTTCGTCGATCACCTCCATGAAGCGATTCCTCTTCTTGAAGTACATCGCCAGATCGGTCGACAGAATCGCACTCTCCACGACCCTCATCACCCGCCTGTAATCCTCCATCGAGAGGCTCTGGAAGATGTTATTGCTGTCGGAATTCAGGATCATGACGCATTGGTCGAAGTGATGGTGCTCCATTGTGCTCGTTGAGTAGAGGATCGCCAGTGGTGACTCCGTTTTCGTCTGAAAGGCATTGTTGGTGCCGCGATGGTCCAGATCGTGACAGAGACACGCCACCAGCAGTCCCAGGATCTCCAGGTCGGTCATGAATTGCTCCATTTTTCCGGTTTTCAGCATCGCGAACATCGTTTGCGCGACGTTCAGTGCGTGCCTCCAGTTGTGGTATTTCACTGGCCTGGACATAGTGAGAGATTTCGTTAGGAGGCTTCGGAAAAGCATGTCGGGTTACAGGGGTATTTCTGTCTCTCTCTCTCTCTCTCTCTGTGTGTGTGTGTGTGTGTGTGTGTATGCGTGAATAAATAATTTTTGTATGAAATACTAAGATATACTGAAAGATATAATAATGAATATAGATTTGGATAACATAAGTTTTTTTCTCGTAATTTTCTGTTTCAACACATAAACATAAATAGAACAAGTTAAAACTTAAAGAGGATGCAATTTATGACACGAAATTTGTTGACCAGTGTAATTAGAGATTCATGAAGTGATGATCGTTTGCCAAGCAATAACGGACTGTGAGCACCGGCCTGAAGAATCTAGTCAAGCGACGTAAGAAAGTAGTCGCAAAAGCGACGTGGAAGGAACGTCGAAGGGGAAATAATCGAAACATCACCTGTAGTTCTTCTTCACACTGAGAATCCACCGGCACAGGACGTCGTACGGTATATGAAACTTCTGTATGAGGTCGCACTGTTTGAACATCCTGATGGTGGCACGGCATGTGTCGTCGTCGGTGAGATCGAAGTCGATAAACGTGAAACTGTAGAGATTGAACTTCTCCGCGGACGGTATAGAATCGGAGGTCAGTCTCAGGGTGTCGTCGTTGTTGGCGGTCGCGTGATAGCTGAGACACTCGAGAGCCACCTTCTGCTTCGCCATCAGCTTGCAGGCGGACTCGTACATCTGCGTGTTGTGGATGCCGAGGCCGCAGAAGATGGCGAACGCTTCGAATATCGAGACGTCCGAATCGGTGAACGACGTGCCGTTGTCCTGCGCATCATTTCTCATTAACAACCCTTGTGGCTCGTCGTTCCCGACGATCTCGCAGCGCCGATTACGTGATCACACACGACGCGAATATCGTTGCACCGGGTTGCTCGGTGATTTGTACTCGAGCAACGTATGCGTGTGATTAAGGAGGTTGTCAGGTGAAATGAGCTTGATGAGAATTCGAAACTTGCATATGTATACAAATTGAGATATCATCTAACTACTCGTGCGATCAGAAAAGGCTGACCATTCGAGAGCTGAGATATTTGCAGCTGAAGTTGACATTTTTTTTACACGCGTCCCTTGAAATCAGTGTGATACTTATAGTTGCGATTTTTAACATCTTCTAAACTAAAAATAAGATTTCGACTGTGAGAACTGTTATGATATTGAAATCCTAATATATCTTTATATACAGCTTCGCCTCAATTCGTCCCAATTAACATTTATTATTTAAGTAGCGAAACAAATATAGTAGGAAAGTGATTTTACTTGATGAATACGAAATTTACGAGTGACTCCCGTGATACGCCATTGGAAAGAAGAGTCTCGCAACTTCTTCGAGGAAGGGAAACCAACGGTGTGAGAGTCGCGAGTGAAACGGCATGCGGATTTGATCGACAATGCGTACCTTGTTGATTAACTGAGCGACCCCGATCACGATCCTCTGCCCGTTGACGATCGGCATGCACAGAATACTCCGGATCGGTTCCCTCCCTCTCTCCATCACGTCCTTCTTCAGCCATGTGGCGACGTCGCCGATGTTGAGGATCTGGCCCGTCGCGGCGACGTATCTCGCGATCTGTCCCAACGAGCTCGACAGGTCGCTCGCGTTCGGCCGATAAATTCGGGCTTCTTGCGTCTCGTTCTCCATCTCGAAGATCATGGTGAATTTGTTGCCCTCGGAGGAGGTCTGAGAAACAGACGTAGCAACGTCGTAGAAATTCAGCCAAGTCAGATTTGCATCGCGGCGATTTCTCTCTGCCGACGTGAATATCGCCGTCTTTTAGACAGAGCGAGACCATTTTCTAGCTTTCTGATATGCGTGTACGTTTGAGGACTTGCAACAAGTCATATCTAGCGAGACTAAGAGCGGTTTAGCTATCGAGATTCGTTTTGAAGCGTCTATCAACGTCACGTGAATCAAGCGTGAAGGTAAACGATGAGATTTACGTTTGCTTAATATCGGACAGCCGCTGAAAAAACACAAGATGGCATGTTTCTTTCTTTTTTTTTTTGTCACATTTATCCGTGCGCGCACGTTTAGAGCCGTGATCGAGATCGAAACACTCACATGCTGCTGTATAATGTCCTCCATGTCGATGTTGTTGCTCTGAGCCGCCAGGAAAGAGAAAAAGATCATCAGACTTACGAATTCGAGTAACACGTGGCGGTGTCACTCACCTCTCGCCTCGACAACGGCTTTCTGCTCTCTTGCACCGATTTCCCGGGCCGCTCGACGATTTTCTCGAGATGGCCCTGAAATGAGACGCGGAAATTCTCTGCCATCATGCTTCCAACAGCCGCGCGAGGCGCGCCCGATTAATTTCATCCGCGTCTAATTAATCGCGTCTGCTCTTGTAAATTGAGAATGCTCGTGCGGCGTGCCCCCGCCCCCCCCTCCCCCGCGCTGGGAAGCAATAATGAGACGCCGTGTCGCGGAAGAATTGAAGATCGATACTCGAGATTGAAGTCGGAAGTCGAATTTGCCGCAAGAGCAGGACGCGTCTCTCTCTCTCTCTCTCTCTCTTTCAACTGCTCGCTCGTTCATTCGCGATTTCCTACTCCACGACTTCGTCACGGTCTGGAACGATAAGATATCATCGCGCGGGCTACACATATTCACAGCTACATCGCGTTTCCGTGTGTGTGCACGCGGCCGGGGGGCAACGGGGGGCAAAAGTGCGCTTACTGCCTCGCCGCAGTCCAAATCCAGCAGATAAACGGCGCATCTCTCGCACTTGAGCAACTCCTTCGCCTCGGTCATGATCTTCGTGACGAGGCATTCGAGATTGTTCTGCTCCTCGAATATGTTCCTCGCCAGGTTGAGGAGTATCTGATTGCGCCTGTACTCCTGCACCGAGAGCTCGAACAATTGTGCGTTCTGTATCCCGATGCCGCAAAAGGTGAGGTATCTGATAATCGATGGCGTCGTAAAATTAGACGGGAGATCGTATTAATAAACGCTATCGATCGCGCGCGGCGCCGATTATAATTGCGTTACGGCCGTTCGCGGAGTCGCTTGTAATCGCGGCCGGCCTTGTTCCGTTATGCAATCCGGCTTAAAGTAACCGAAGCCCTCGTCGGGCCGATCAAAACAATTCCTACGAACGAATCTTAACGTCCGTGGCTCGTCGCTACGCGCGATCCTTCCTTTCCCGAAATGTTCTCTCGATAATCCCCCCTCCCCCAGTTACGTACGTATATACGTATATGTACATAATACGTACCTTTGAAACACCTCGACATCCCTCTTGGTGAATTCGTTGCTGCCGTTCGTCTTGTTGATGATCTGGGCGACCCCGATGACGTCGCCTTCGTAGTTGCAGATAGGCATCGATAGGATCAACGTCGTCTTGTAGCCGGTCCGCATGTCGATGGCGCTGTTGAACCTCGGATCCTGACGGAACGCGACGGAAATACCCGCTTTAATGTCAACGACAACGACGACGACAACAACAACAGCGCTAAAGGTGTAAACTCGTGACTCGTCGATTAATTAATGGCCGTCGTCGGCTGGGCTATTTAGAGAGAGAGAAAGAGAGAGAGAGAGAGAGAGAGAGTTAATTACCACGATCTCTCTTTCTCTCTCTCTTTTTCTTCTTCACTCACTCACTCACTCATTCGTTCAATCATTCTCTCTCTATCGCACGACGTGCGACGTATTAATTACAGCGCCGTGGAGATCGGTTTCGACGGAGGGTTCAACGTGCGTAAACGCGCGCAGGGTGTGAATCGATCGCACCCCGCGAGAGAGAAAGTATAAGCTGGTGAAACCTTGTAAGCGTCCTTGATGTTGATAATTTCCTTAGTCTGCGCCACGTAGCCGGCGATACCGACCCCGAACGGTATCTTAATCTCCTCGTTCTTAGCCCGTTGTACGGCCTCCTCGAGTTCGGTGTCCTGCGTGACGTCGAACAGCTTCGCCACCAGGTACCGGTCATCCAGGGGTCCCTTCGCCAGGAACAGGCTGCCGCGATCGGCGTGAGTGAGTAGGCCGACGTTCACCAGGATCTTGTGGCAGAGCACGTTGATATCGAGCTCGTTCGCCACGTCCCGGATCAGCTCCATGAACAGGTCGCTCTCGTCCAGCCTGCCGAGCTCTTCGCGCCGACCCATCAACGAGCTGTGAGTCCTGGAAGGTAGTTTGCGGTGTTTGCGTAGTAACAGGTCTGCTCTTTTCCGCTCAACCGGCTAGCTTGTGCTAGTTCTTTTCTCTTCCATCGAGTCTTAACTGTATATCTGTCTCTTTTAGAGTTCTACAAGTATACGCATAATAGTTCAGCGGAAAAGAACAGCCCTGGTCGGGTGGATCGGCTCGCGCGAATAAAAGACGCGAGGCTCCGTTTTGTTGCCTCGCGTGATTATAGTCGAAGCGGGTCGAAGTCGGACGTCGCCGAGTTTAGTTACCTGTTGGGACTCTTGCTGCGCTTGGCGGGCGAGCTCGAGGCCAGCCAGGTTTGAAAGAGATCGGACGTGACGCTGTTGCGTTTGCCGCGTCCGAGAAGACTCTCCTCTTGGTGCGCTCTCTGCCGCTGCTGTATACACGTGCTCTGCAATCGATGTCGAAGCTGGAGGCTCGCTTTCTCCCGCAGCCACGTCTCCACCAGAGCGGGGTGCGTCTCCAGGTATCTTCGTCAGGTTCGCGAGAGATGCGAAAGAGAGAAAAGGGCGTTCGATTCTTTGAGTTTTTTGAGATCCCCGATATTTCTTCGAATATAGATTACCTGCCGACCCTGTCCATGGTGAGGCTGTCGTCCTCGTCGTATTCATGTATGGTGTCCTGGTAGCTGACCTTCTTGCTCCTGCATAACCTGCCGATCTCGCCCTCCTTCACGTCAGTCTTTGTACTTGTACTTAGGGGTACTAGTTTTGATTCTGTTCGCGCGGACGTTTGCAGTGTTTCGGGACCGGCGGGATCGGCCGCGTGTAGCGACTCCTCGGGATTGGACGAGCGCACCAGGGGACACTCGTCCTTCTCCGGGGTCCGCGAGGACACCGGCTTCGTCGAGATCTTCATCGTCTCGAAGCTCTCGATGTTGTTGTTGTGATTCGCCTACGATACATCGCGGGGTGAGACGATCTCTGTGATTCGCACCCCCGTCGCGCGACTTTTATATCCGATTCGCGCGTATCCGCTCGCGAAACGCTCGCGGACCGTATCGGGAAATCGTGAAGGACAACTGCGCGACTTCCGTCGTTACGTCAACATCGGCATCCGGATCTCGACGGATTCTGATTCTCTTTTCGCACGGGAACGGTGTAAAGTCAAATTTGGGGTAATTTAGTGCTTTTTCTACAAATCCTTGCTTCCCTTGTACGTTATGCTTTTCTCGAGTAATCTTTACGCCTTTAAAAACACTCGGTTCCGTTGATTCGGCCGGGCAGACGTCGAGACGCAGCCGCACGGCGGTTACAACGCGGCGAAAGCATTAATGCAAATTGTTTAATTACTTCCGTGTCGGCGGCCTCCGACAACTCATCATCCACTTCGTCTTCTGCTTCCATATCACCTTGAGCTTAATGTAACGTGCATCGAGCGCAATAGGAACGTTCTCAGTTATGCCCGCGACGAGAGCCGTGCGAATGAGGAAGCTTCACGTCTCGCTGCCCCTTCTCTTCCCGGCGTTTGCATGCGCCTCTGCGAGTTCCGCACATTCGAATCTGAAAGAAGTTTTTGCGAATTCGTCCGTGGCGCCGATTTTATCTTCCACCTCTCCTCCCCGCTCTTTCTCCTTTTTTCCTTTCTCTTGTTCTATCTGGAGGTGAAGATTTCTCCGGCATTAATCAAATTTCTTTTATTGAAACAAATTTGTTTTTTGAAACGAAGCGAGCAAATCAATGTTTGACTCAACAATTAGGATTATTTGGTTTCTCGGATGATAAATATCTCCTTTTTTACGTCAAATAACATATTTCTTTTGTATTTTTATCCAAACACCGCAATGGTTGTCAAAACGATAAATTATTTGCAAAAAGTGATACTATGTGAAAAAATATTAAAGAACGTTTATTTGTTTCAGAGAGTTATATTTAATATTATATTTAATATATAATAAAATAACTTTCTTTTCGTGAAAATTAAATATTATTCTCCTCTATATAATATTGTTTTTTCGATCAAACAACATGGTTTATTCTGATAAAGCAACAATAACAATTACATCCAAACAAATTGATATTTTATATTAAATTATGTTGTTCATATTACATAAACCCAGGTCAAACAAACATGTATATCAAATCCAAAGAAACATTTTTCTTTATGTATCTATTTATTTCTCTCTCTCTCTCTCTCTCTCTCTCTCTCTCTCTCTCTCTCTCTCCCTCCCTTCCTTTTTTTCTCTTTCTCTTTCCCTCTTTTTCCATAATTAATTTCAATTCTTAGAAAGAATTATAACTTGTAGGATAACAATATTAAAATGAAAAAAAAAAAATTGTCTTCATATAGAAATATATATAAATGCATATCGTAAAAAAATGTAAAATTCAGTTCTCCATCAGTTATCATTAACGTCGATTAACGTAAATTTTGCTTGGCATCACGATAACTTCCCGGCCGTCGTTTCAACCATTTATAATATACCCAACGAGAGAGAGAAATGAGAGAGACTTTGCACAGATGCCGGGGAATACTTTAAGATTTTATGAACCCTGTCCGAATGCCCGGAACGTCATCTACAAATGTCGTGGATCGACTACGATCCCATGAATTTCCTATTTTGTCGCTATGACTTGTGTAACTCGTATATACGGATACCGCTATCACCCCTCACCGTCGCCACTGCCGCCGCCCCCGTTAAATAAACCACCCCCTTTTGCGCGTTTTCGTCCTCTTTCGTCACCAGAGATCGAAGGCAACGACCCATCGGGGAAATCCACGGTCTAAATCACTGAATTATGAAATTACGCGATTCAATATTCACGAGAGAGCCGCTCGCCTCCGTCTGCAATTCTCAACGAGAATAACCGCTTCGTATTAAGTCCCTTGTTAATACGTTTCCTATCGATGATTATCCTCCCTTCCTTCGTGCGCCTCGCGCTCTCGCGACATTTTATCCGCTATAAATTGGAACCGAGACTGCGGGGATAATTGGAATGTCATGACGTAGAGTAGCCGCGTGTTCAATGAGACATTTTCGCGAGGTTGCTTATTATATTTAAACGTAGCGTAGCGTAGCGCGCTACAGTTATTTTTACTACGATATGCTATCTATGCGCTTCTCTCTCTCTTTCTCTCTCTCTGTATGTGTGTAAGCCGACGGTCGTCGACGGGGTGTCGTCGTATTTAAAGCACGTGTCGGGACGCGAACTCTTGCCATTTTTTCAATTACTGAGCGATCTCTCGACAATACGCAGATTACTGAATATTTTCCAGTTCACGCGCACACGTCAGATCGCGGATGGCACGTGGTTGCGCCTCGTGAGCTTTGGCTTTTCCGTCGCTAAGCACCGCAGATGCTCGTCGCATTTGCCACCTCGCTCTTCGAATTCTCCCCCGACATACCGAGGAAAGGACCAATTCGCGAATTCGCCGGGGGAGAGCCGCGAATGAGAACGGACGGCTCGTCAACTATTTACGCGAGGCTACACGCGGCCTCCCCTCCGATTCCCTTGGAGGAAGGAGGAGAGGGGGGGAATCAATTCTCCGATATTCGGGAATTCGATCGCGTTATCGCTTCCTTGCGCGATAAGCCGCGTAAAATTGAGCGGAGGGCGGCGAGCGCAAATACAGCTCACCTGCAGCAGCAGCGATAAAGCATTCGCAGGGAACGTCTTGTGAGCGCAGTACACCCGCGTGTCCGGCCCGAAATAGCCATCACTCCTGCAAAATGTCATTCGCGATCTCTTCGCGACGCGCACGAAGGCTCGTCTTCATGGACAGCCGCGTCCTCCGCTGGCAGTCATGCCCAACGGACATCGTCGACTCAGCGGACCACCATAACATCCTCTCCCCCTCCGTGTCTCCCCTCCCCCCGTCTATCACACTCTATTCTCCTTCGACACGAGCACACGCGAAAAGAATCGCACGCCTTCTCACGCCTCGCGCGCGTCACCCTCGATAAACATATCTCCCTCACCGCGTCGGAGAGGAACAGAGAGAGAGAGAGAGAGAGAGAGAGAGACGACGCTTCCTCTCAGCGATCCCGCGATATTCTGCGAACACACCGGAGATAAGATCGTCGTGCAGATGATGACCCGTCTTCTCCCGTCGACCTCCGGTGCGTCGGCCGCGACCGGCTGGACGGACGTCGCTCGCCGAGCGAGATCGGCCGGCGAGGATTCGCGGGAGTCCGGGAGCACCGATCTGCGATCACGCAGACGCGCGTGAGCCCCGCGTACCTTCTTTTTTCCCCCTTCACTTGGTCAACTTCGGCGGCGCTCGATATGATGCCCACCGCGTATCCGACGGCACGTTCCTCGTCATGCCGCGCTTGATCCACCCTCGAGGGCGCAATCCGACTTCGCCAGCTCGCCGACGTCTCGCGGTCACTCCCCACGTAAGCGCCGGCCGCGTATCGTTGTTCAATTAGCGCGAAGATCAGCGCGGCGCGTCGGCCGATTAGTCCCCCTCCGTGCGCGACCCCTGCCGAGGCCGCGACGAGATCACCATGCGAGATCACCATGCGTGTTCGAGCCCCCCGGCGGAGGGATCGAACACGACCGCAAGATCCGCTTCCGGGACCACCGCCTCCGTGGACGTCGGTTCCCCAGGTGGAAAATCCCACGGTCTACCCTCCCGACGTGCCCCCGGGATCTCCGCGGCAGGATCAACGCGCAGCCCGACGTTCGATCGCCAGCTCGAAGCCACATCGACCGGCGTGTCCTCGCGAGACGCTCCTCCGCCTCGTCCTCATCCTTCCTCCGGGATCGTCGCGAGGGAGGAAAAAAGCAGAGAGAGTGCGAGGCTGGACCGAAGCCCGTAGTCTGGAGAGCGCGTAATTATCGCGGAATCGGGGAGATCCTCGGTCCGTTCGGCAGCCCACAACTCACCCCCGAAGCACCACACCTCCGAGGATCACCTCGTCCCGTCATATTTCAGGATCGGCTCGTCGGGTCCGCAGTTTCCATTAGTTCGGAAAACACACACAGTTTCTCTCTCGTTCTCTCTCTCCCCCCCTTCTCTCTTTCTCTCCACCTCACTCTACCTTGGACGGTTTTCACTTCGGATCTGTTCTAATTTCGGAGGATGTCGGTGGCTGGGTGTGAAATGACAGCCCACGGAGGACGGGATCGGCAGGATCGGCGGTGCGATCGCGTGCGTTTCGGTACACCGCGGGACGCGAAGCTCGAGACGTGGAGCCGCTATGGACCGGTTGAAAGCTCCGAGCTTACTGAAGTCTCTCTCTCTCGGGTCAGGCGCGGGTGTTCGAGGAGAGAGCGGAGCGCCGGAGCTCGGCTGGTTACGCGTCCGAGCCTCCCACGGGTTCCTCCTCGTCGCCGCGCCGCGCGCGTCTCTCTCGTACGCGTCGCCGTTCGCTCGTCCGTCTTGGGATACTATCTCCGCATCGAACGTGGATGTCCGTGTATTCGAGAATATCCGTGTGTATATGCGCACGGTATGTGTATGTGTGTGTGTGTGTGTGCGTGTATCTGCTAGATGATGGTTGCGCGCGCGTCTGTTGTGTATCTATGTGTGTGTGTGTGTGTGTGTGTATGTGTTTGCGCACGTGAATCTCACAGTTTATCGTCTCGGTGGTGCGACCACACACCTGACAGTGGTGGTATTACGTTGTGATCGTAGGCGTGTGTACCGCTCGAGCAGGTACGGCAGTCCTCGTGCGCGCGTGTGCGTGACGCTTCCGGACGCTTATCGTCGCGGTGGTGTGAGTATTGCTTGAGTTAGATAGCAGCTTCGTCGCGCATGAGGCGCACGAACGCTTATTAGGTAGTGAGGGCGCGGGTCCGTGTGTGAGTGGGTAGGTGTGTGTGTGTGTGTGCAATCTCACGGACCGGTGTGTGTGCGCGCACGTGCGGCACAGAGCCGAGGAGAGACGTCTTCTCGTGTGCACGGTCTCTCTTTCTCCCTCCCTCTCTCTTTCTCTCTCAATCTCTCGCTCACTCTCGTCTCTTCTCTGCTTCGCGCGCGCGCTACTCCGGGAAGATCGATAACAGCCGCCGAAGAGAAAGAGAGAGAGGGAGAGAGAGAGAGAGAGAGAGAGAGAAACACGGTCCCGGACGCAGGCAGGCAGGCAGGCAGACAGGCAGGCAGCATCCCCCGCGTGTCTGCCTACCCTGGCCTACCCTCGGTGAGAGATTTTCGGTTTCGGAATTTCGCGAGCACTCCGCGCCGATATCGCGATGATATCGCGCGCGCTCGATCGATCGCTTCTTGCGGGCCCGCGCGTCCTTGCTCCCGCCGGAAGCCGACGAGCGTGGCACCTCTAATCGAGCACACGTGCGCGCGATGCGTTTCGAGGGTCGTGTGTGTCTGTGCGTGTGTGTGTGTGTGTGTACATGCGGTGTATATGCGCGCGTCGCGAAATTTAACTATCCGACGTGCGTGCTCACGCACTCGTCGTCGCCGGCGCGATTGTTATTCACAGCGTGACGCAGGGCACGTCGACGCACCCTCAAATGTCATCCCTTTAAGTTTCGGCTCGCGTGACCCGTGAGAAACTTTTGCGAAAATGTTGGAGCAAGTTCCTTCGAGGAAGGAGAGAGAGTTCGCTGATACCGGGGGGGTTGCTTTCGCCTTAGTCGCGGCACGTTGACGCTCGATACTCGATGTCGATAATCTCGGGCTCGGTGTTGTTGCGTCGCCCGGCGCTTCAAGAATCCACCGTTCTCCGGTGTAACGTGACGGTACCGAACCGTCGGTTGTTGAACCTCGACACGAGTGCGATTGAATGCGAGGCGAGCGAGCGGGCCTCGCGGAACAGCTCGGGTTGCCGAATCTCGGCGTAATTTCTGAGGTCCACTTCTTAAGGAGGTGACTACGAAGCGAATCTCGAAGCGGATTACGGGCTCGCTTGGTTTTTGTACCCCTCCTCTTTTCCCTCCTCCTCACCTCCGTTATTTCGGAGCATCGTCTACCGAGAAGTAGACGAGCTCAGCGCTGCCGTGTACGCGAATACACCTTGCGATCCGTAGGTAAACACGATTTATGTCGCTTGCCTGTTCTTTCTTTCCTTGCTTTCCCGCCGGTTATGATCCACTCGTATCGTCTCCTCATCAATGCTAATTGGCAATCACTTCACGTTAATGTTCCACCGCTTATTATGCGATTGCGCATACACACACATGTACGCACACGCGTGTATGTACACGTACACACACAGACGTGTAGGCGTAGGCGCACACGCAAAATCGGATTACGCCGACGCTGCCGTGCATAAGATGCAGCGTAGGTGGTTGGTAATTTTCCGAAATTCGCATTCCTCGAGCTTTGCGGCATGGTGCGCGCGGTATGGCGGTACTTTAACGTTCGCGATATTGAATACCCCTCCCAATATATAATCGAGTCTCGAATTAATTTCGACGCTGAAGGCGAAGCCCCGGCGCTCGAAACGCTGAATTCGTGTGCGCCCGGGCCGATTAATCTCCGATATTAAATAATTTCGCAAATTATCCCCGAGCGAAGTCTCGCCGGCAATTAATTACGCGAATCTCCGGCTCGACCCTCTTCCTCCTACTCTTCTTTTTCCACTTCTACTTCGCGTGACGAAAATAGATCGGTCGGACGAAAGAGGGTCCGATATGGCATTTTACGAGCTTTCACGACGTCGTCGAGGACTCGGGAAGGACGATGTCGACGGCGAAGTCCGTGACGCAATCACTCCGTCGGAATCCACGTGTTTACATACGTCAGTTACACGAGCGCGAAATCAAATTACGCGTTTCTGGGTCCCCCGGTTTCCTTTTAAGACAACGCCGACGATTGGCTGCCCCCGATTTAAAGCGAGCGTCCTCACGAACGGACGAGACACTGACGGTCGCTCAACTGACGAACCGTTATGACTCTGTTTTTCCTTACGGATATCCCTTTCCTTTATCGTTACTCCCCCCACGCCTCTCGCCGAGATTTTTTAATTCCGACGGGGGTGCGTGCGCGACACTGGCGCACCCGGATCGACTCGGTCCCTCCCTCCCTCTCGCACTACGTAAATAAATCAACGCGCACCAGGGCGTTTAAATACCGAAATAATGTCAAGGTATTTTTTCTTTTTTTTTTTTTCACAACGGCCACGTTGTTTTCACGACATTACGAGAGAGGATGATGGACGATGTGAACGTGTCTCGCCCGTTGCATCTATTTTCCATTCCTACGACGATGAACTATGCAGAAGGATTTCGGGTCCTTCGGGATCCCGCTGAGGATTTGCTGCGCGTGTCGGCCAATCGAGCTGGCCGAATCGAGTCTCGAGGAGGGTCGCATTTCATCATAAAGTACGCGCGGCCCGGCCAACGTAGGTGGACAGATTGTCAGGGACGCCGATATCGCACGGGATTTCGTCCCGTTGGATTCCTGCCAGGGTTATGGTTTCGAAAACGCCCGCTGGGCGAGCGAGCGAGAGAGAGACACGGATAGAGACTGCGAGAGAGAGAGAGAGAGGGAGGTGGAGGGCGAAAAGAGAAGACAGCGATACCGCGAAAAAAAGCGCGAGGAGGGCCATCGAGATTTGATGGGCGCTGAATGACTCGTTAGCGACGAGATGAGAAGAGGAAGGATGGGGAGGGGCCAAGGGGGAAGCCGGCATTAAATTCCGCTCAGGGTCGACGAGGGAACGCGCGCTTTATCGCGGGGTTTACTTTGCGATCTTTCATGCAACGCCGCGCCACTAATCTCTGCCACATTTCGGATTACGAAGACGGAGAGGGAGCGACGGCCAAAATTGGGCCAACGTCGAGGATCGAATGGATGTTTAAAGCTGAAAAGGCTCCCTCAACGAGAGGAACGTAGATAAGGAAGATCTCGTAAAGGTCAACCAATTGCGCCGGAAAATTCGTGCGTTCGCTTGAGCCAAGAAAAAATACACGGACGCAATTGTTCTCTCAAGTAACGTCTCTCTCTCTCTCTCCCTCTCTCTCTCTCTTTCTAACTTTCTTTCTCTCTCTTTCTCCCTGAAAATTCTAAAGCACTTTCAAAGTGCGATCGCCAGTATCGCCGGTAGTTAAAATAACCGGAGGGCGAAGGATCTCCCGTCTCCATATATTCTACGTCGTTACAGTATTATTGAAATTCGATGCCGCTCCGCGTGGATGATCGTTCGCGAGAAGAAACGAAAACTCGAAGCGGGAATTGCTTTATAATCGCAACGCCGCGCAACATTTGCACAATTGACGCACGAGCGCGGAACTCTCGCGGAAAGGGGATCTCGCGCTCGCGTCGTGCGTACCGCGACCATTATTATTCGGTGTATTCTCTTGTGTTTACCTTGCTAGGGGTGCTTTGCGTCATCAGACGAAGCGAGGTCATCAGCAGCGTTTCGCTCTGTGCGCGGGGGCGGTCGAATTACCGGGCCATCCATGCTCCGCCGTTAAGTACGCGCCGCTCTTCTTCGTCCTTTCATTCGTTGACTTCTCCTCGTCGTCCGTGTTTTCAGGTCTCTTTAGCCCCCGTAGCCACCCTGCTAACGACGCGGCCAGAGAGGGAGAAAGAGAGAGAAAGAAAGAAGGGGAGGGGGAGCTTTATGCTCGACCCGGCCGGCTTTATTTCGCGCGGGTTTCGAGTCGCACGCTGACACACACATCGATTTTCTATTTATAGGCTATAATTTAACCGGCGTAATTATTGACTCGCCGCAACATTCGGCGCGAAACCGAGAAGGAGATTTCGATCAATTAAGGAGATACCTCCTTAATTGAGATCGAATTCTCGCGTGCCACCGCGACATGTTCCCTTTTCTCTCGCACGGCGATCGTACCGACGAAGCGTAAGACGGTGGAAAACACTTTTACGGAAAAGAGGAGAAATTCAGATGGATTTTAACATCGTCGAGCGAAGAGAGATCGATTTTGAAGGGAGAAGTCACCGCTGTGAGATGCGGATGCGACACGATCGAATCTGTATTTCCCCGTCTCGCACTTTCGCCACTCACGCAGAATCTCAGAATGTGTATTCTTGCACGATGAAATAAAATCTCTCATATATTGATTACGCTTTTACACACCACAGAGGCAATAAATGCTAGAATGAACGGTTCAACCGTGTACAACCGTCTCCAGCAACCGTGACACGAGTGCAACGAGTGATTAATCAGCAACATCGACTCCGCGAAATATCGATATACGATTAGGCGCCGCGAAAAAAACAGACGTCCTTCGAGGGGTCGGTGTATTTTTAGAAAAAAGCCGCACGCAGGCACATGCATCGCCCCAACGGGGGTTGCGTTCGGCTTGTATCGCGACGGCGCGATTAGTCCGACATCTTCGCTAATGACGATCGCGTCGTTCGCCGCTGTGCGAACCCCGGGGGCGCAAAATCACACCCCCTTTCGCCTCCTCTCGTGGCGCAGCTCTTCGCCCGTCGCTCACAAATCCCACGGAAACCGAGCGGGCCCTCCTCCCCTTCCCCACCCCGGCCGCTTGTTTACGTTACGCCTTCGACTTTCTGGAGGAAAATAGCCGGGATTTATCTGCGCGCTTGAACTTTCCTACGGCCAATATTTGCGCCGCATTATCCGACGAATCGAAATTATTAGCTTGCCCGGCGGAATAATGGCCGGAATCATTATCCCGCCGGGCGGGAATAGTAACGATCACGGTTACGCGGAATCCCGACGAAGTACCCGCCGGTCGATACGAATCGAAGGAATGATGAATAATAATCATCGGAAGAACGCGGCCGAACTCTACCCGAACGTCTTCCATTATTCCGTGAGAATCGAACGAAAATTACATTTTCCTCTCATGATTCCGCAACCGTAATCCGAGCCTTGTGTGTACATACATACTTTATTATCTCGCTCCCTTTTTCATTATACACGAGAGATATGAAGCGGCTATAAGCGAGACCAAGCGGCCGGTATTGCGCTATATTTCGCATCGTGCTGAAAAATCATCGAGATTGCATCGAGCGTAATCGAATGTCGGCGCATTAAACAGCCTTCACGGGCGAGAATACAAAACACTTTTACGATCCCGAGTCGAAATTTGGGCCGTCCGTTAAACCTTCAATTCTACGACACGATAAAAATTAAAATACATTAAATTTCAGCTCTAACTTACTCTCGTTTCGACCCTGATGATGCTTCATCGTCAAAATAGGTTGTCGAGGTAGCATTAAAATGAAGCCGGTAGAATTAAAAGTTCAAGAGAAAGGTTAATAAGTGTCAGTATCGTCAAGATAGATTTCTATCAGTCTACAGGCCATCCAAGTAGGCGCAAAACTACCCTTAAGAGCGTCGAAGTAGCGTCGAAATTTCGACTTGGGATTCGGCACAAAGTAGCTGCGTTTTAAGAGCACCTTCTCCTCTGTTTGCTCACTTGCGGAGTGCACAGGTGGAAGGTTATTTTTGTTATCTTTCAGCGTCCCCGAGATTTTCCTCATTTTCTCTGAACTCGCCGCGGCGAGTTTGATTGCGAGCCCGGCGGCTCGCGGCAGATTCATTCATTGATCAGGTGCTGCGCGACGATCGTACGTAAACTAATGACGAGTCAATGCTTGCAGCATGCACCGGGAGCGTTAATGCAACGTAAACGAATTTCGCCATAGATTGAGTGCATTAATAAGCTTTCAGGGACCGCGTCGGTCGATCTGTCGGTCGGTCGCTCGCTCGCACGCTTGGCCGATCGATCGTCGTTCCCCGCTATTGGAAACTCCGCGTCGCGTGTTCCTTGTCTATGCATCGCTCTCGAATTCAACGAATTCCTGCTCCCCGATCCGAGGAACGTCGTCGTCGTTCGATGCCACGGATGACAGCCTCGGGGATGCTGTTCAGCCAATAATTCACTTGGTTACCAGTTACGACGAAAACCCGTTCCATGCGGCCCGCTTAATCGGGGACACAATAACGTTACCGGATGCTATTTCGAGGTATCTAAAAGCGGACTTAACGATATTTATCACCCTTCCCCCACGTCTCTACTCTTCGTCACGGGGAGACAAGTCCGCATCAATTATGCGATAATCGCTCGCGTTTTTTCGCCGGAGTGGATGAGTCGACGAAGAATCGTCAAATCTGTGCTTAAACGTGATGTATTTTAGGCGTCTCGCGTATAATAGAGACGAGTTCTCGCTATTTATTGTGGACACACATCGTGAATGTACATCCATATCGTTATTATCTTCAAAGGAAAGTCATCGAAAGTCATTTATCGGGAAAGCTCATCAAATGTTTCTCACCACGTGCGTTTGTGTATCTCAATGGAGGAACTCGCCTCTTTCGAACTTACATGTAATATTCATCGGGAGATGTTAAATTACTTCACCACGCTACTCTACTTTCAAGATTCGGGAAGATTTTAACACGTACAGAAAAACGCAACAGACTTGACTTCGAGTTTCGGCTCCTTGGATTTATCGGCGCGAGGTCGTCGTCAGTTTGTGATTGTTATTTACCGTCAGAGATCGTCGTCGAAGGAATCGTGAAATCTTTCGTACGGCGCGATGGGTTTCTGAAACGTGTCGTAGTCCTTCTTCCCTTCCGTCTTGGTCAACAGTTTCCGTCGCTCCAACGTCAGATATATCAACAACGGGCAATACGCTATATTCACGATGCCTACGATTCGCATGACCCATGCAAAGCCGATGGTTCTGACCATTTCGCCGCCCATGATGGGTCCTTTGAATAAAAAGGAAAGAAATTATACGATTTATTCTTCTCCCTCGGAGGATATTTCGATTAGTTGCATAGACAGAATAATTTCAGTAATATATGCAATTATATTAATTAATAGAAACTTAACATTATAAATATAATATTATAAACTAAATTGATTAAATAAATTATTAAATTTAATATTATAAACTTAAAGTAATATTATAAAGGCGATTCGAACACGCACAAAGAGAGAGAGAGAGAGACTATTTGAGAGAACTGAAAAATCTTGAAATCAACGAAAATAAATATCGAGCGCAACGTTCCAGCCTTCCAAAGATATCTCGGTCGATTTCGTCGTATTTGATTCATCATATTGAGATACTTTACCCAAGGAATAAGCTAGACTGACGGCCACTTGTTGGATGGAGTAAACGGGCCCGTAGTTGCCGTTTCGGTCCACCAGACTGGCCAGCAACGGCACGAGGGCTGCGTCGGCGACGCCGATACCCAGGCCCATTCCGAGATGCGGGAATATCAGCTGCGACATCGTGCTCGCCGACGGGATCAGAACGGCGCTCACGCCGACCAAAAACATTGCCAGGATCGCCACTTTGCTGCGACCGTAACGGTACGCAATCACGCCGAAGAAGTTGGTCCCAATTAAATAGCCCACGCTATCCGGTATGAACACCGTGCCCAGTTGCCACTTCTGAAAGGGGATGTTAATTGAAGCTACGTTTCGCCTTGACACGGCCAATCAGAACCCACCGAGCGTTTGCCGCCGGTGACGTCGTCTCTTCGTCTTGTTTCTCGCCGAATATTACTGTATTTTCCGCGACGTACCTTGGGTTTGATGTGAGTCCGAAGCCAAATCGGCAAGCACGGCTCCAGTATCGCCATCGGCGACGTCGAGCACCAAATCGCGCCGGAGATGATGAGGATATGCGAATTAGACAGTAAGTGCATCCAAGTGCTTTGCTGCTGCTCGCTCGGCTGATGCGTCTGCGATCGGAGAATGCGATCAGGACTAATGAGAATTTCACTATGACGAGTCGCATGTTTCTTACACGTAAGATTGAAGAAAAACGCGTCCTTTCGTTCATCGGCAAAAAACCCGTGGAAAAAAATGACGAAGATATACTTGAGAGTTACTCTCGTCGAACGCAACACTCACCTTGGCCTCCGTCAGAACGTCTAACGTCAAGATTTGCAGACCTGCCGACAGATAAGGTGCTTCAACGTCTCGATGTCTGACGTGAAATATATATGATGTGAAATAATTCTTCACGATTTTGTCGTATTAGAGAATCGCTCACAAATTAAGATAACGACGAGAGCGGACACCAACAGGAAAGGCGCCATTTTCCCTTCGAGATCGTACAATACGGAGCCGATAGGGTAACCCAAGAGAACGCCCAGCGCGATGCTGCCCAGGACAAAACCCATGATCTTGGATCTCTCGTCTTCCTCGGAATATTGAGAGGCGACCAGGGACATGCCGGAGACTGCTATACACGCCGACGCTATACCCTGAATACTCCGGGCTAGGAACAACACTTCGTATGTCTGTCCGAAGGCGAACACTGCGATCATAATGAACACGAGATTAATATTGACGGAGACCCTGCTGAATAATTTAGCATCTTCGGCTGTTAAATTGACAAACAGGACAGAAGAAATACATAGATAGATATGCAAATTTATTTCTACCTTGGGGTACACAATATAGTATTAAGTTTACGCGAAAAACAAAAAAATGAGATATGATTTAAAAAAAGATAAGCGGAAGAGAGAAAGAGAGAGAGAGAGTGAGAGGGAGAATGCATTTTCGTGAAATTAATTTAACAAGCGATCGGAAATGATCAATTTAAAATAATTAATCGATTAAACGTAAACGATCAATTTAAAATAAATCATTCATTTGATGAACGTAAAATTCAATGGCACTGAAATTACCAGAGTTCTTTCGCGCTCCGCGAAATCCGAGAAATGGCGTGCAATCACAACGCAATTTGGAATTGTAATACCCGCTCTGGTATTCGTCATTCACTCTTACAAATCACCCGGTACAAATCGTCCGGTATCCTCCATATTTCCCAATTTTCCAATTGTATTAACAATCTACCGATCCGTCACGTCTCTTCGCGTATTATTAACCATCTCCCCTCCCTCCATTCGCGTGACAGACAGTCGCCATTAAAACCGTCATCTGTGACTTACGTAAAGCAGCCAGCAAGAGGCTGAGGTTTCCTAGGAAGAGGGGTCTGGCGTAGCCGAAGTTACCGGTGAGGGTCCCCACGGCCGGATTCAAAATTAATTGGACGAGAGCCTTCGAGCTCAAGAGTAATCCCACCCTGCCGTTTTCGTCCTCCTCCTTCGCGGCGCTCGCGCTCGCATTCGCGTCGAGCGTGCACAGATAATCGGGAATAATCGGCACTGAAACATTTCCGGATCATCAAACTGTGACAGGCCGTGGCTTCTCTGCCGGCTGGGTTTAATTACCGACTACCGTCAACAGGACATTATCCAGGAAGAGGCTCAGATAGACCACCGCGACGGTGATCATGCGGCTGTTCTTCACGTCGCCCGGTCTCATCCTTGATCATTGATCCTCTCCGAAGAGATATTGTACACCCCCACACACACCCGCACACACACGCACGCGTGATACACTCCGAGGCGATTGTCTCTTGAAACGGCGTTCGTTCTTTAAAGCACGTTTTTACCGGATGTCCTTGGAGAATGGCGAGCGACAGAGAGCGCTCACGCCGTGCTACTCGAATAAATTGACAAGAATTGTGGCAGATTTTGCGAGATTCCGCGGATCCTCGGCGAAGATTTACGCGTCGCAACTTCCCGCGATCTCCCGATGGCGAATAATTTCGCCGTTAAATCCGGCACACGATTGAGTGCCGCAGCGAGATACGGATCGAAATTTTGAGATTGATCACGCGACTTTCGCGGCACAAACGGGAAAAATTGGAAAATGCGAATCGGACGAGCAGAAAATCACGTTGCACCAAGAGCGAGCCTTTCAGGACGATTTCTGTGTCTACGTGTTCCCACTTCTATTTGCGCGAAGATCTTTTCCGAACATCGATAGATCCCCGCGATCAATTCCCCCTCTCTCGCTCTCTCCTTCCTTTTTCCTCTTTCACCTTGCTCCGATAAGCGTATTTCAAGTAGCCCCCTCTCTCGAATTCCTCTTCTGCTTTTTTTTTTTTTTCGTCACTTGAAAGGCAGCCCTAAACGTGACTGGAAAGCGGACGAGTCTCGTGCGGGCTTTTATAGCCGGTGAAGCTCGTTCTTGCGCAGAAGCTTTTTCATGGGGGCCACACGAAGGTCCGAACGGCGCACCCTTTCACGTGCCGATGCACTTTTCGATTTATCCCCATTATGGCGGCTTATCGGCCTCCGCCAGCCGGCCTGATTTTCGCGGTTTTCATGGTGGCTTCATGATCTGGAAGTAAAGCATCGCGCGCATGATCGTAAACCGTGAGAGAACATCGGCGAGGAGATCGACGAGGGGGCTGCAACGGCTTGATAGAATTTTTTCGGAGGATTACGTGTAGTGTGTAGTGCTTCTCCCTTTTCTCCCTCTTCGGGCGTTGCGAGTTTTATACGTCCTTTCGTTAGATTCTGAGATAAAAATTCCGCGAGAGATTCAGGTCTATCCGAGCTTCCGCCGAGCTTCATTGAATCACGGAACTTAATTCACAGGAAGCCAGCCTCTCTCTCTCTCTCTCTCTCTCTCTCTCTCTTATTCGGTTCTCCGAGGCAATTAACATTTCGACGCCATTATTAAAGCCTGATCGATCGCGTTAATTCATTAAGTCGCAAGCTGCCGAACGAACGTAAAACACACATTATCGCGCGCGTCACATCCGGCGATAACGACCGTGGAAATCGGATAACGACGAGTTCGACGAGTGATAAATGTGCAAAAAAAAGTGATAAAGATTCGCACGACAAATTGTCCTCGTACGTCGCACCGTGACGAGCGTAAACTGCATTTTCGCGAGTCCCTTTGTTGCGAGTGGCCCGGCTCTCGCTATCTCGTCATCGATATTCCCGCGGTGCGCGCACACCTGGTGCCCTGCTTGCGAAATTACGATCGACCATAATGCAATTTCGGCGAGGTACATGCCAAATTGATTCTACGCCGCGCAGGCTTTGCTACGGTTCGCCCGCGTCCTCGTCCATGCATTTGTGTCTAATGCAACGAGAAACTTCCGTCGCCGATCTAACCATCCGAGGTAGCAGAGAGAGAGAGAGAGAGAGAGAGAGAGAGAGAGAGAGAAACCCGAGTAGGGATGATGACGTTCGGCAAAATTTAGACTCATTAGACAACATCAAGCCTCTCATGGGAGAGGGAAGCGACCTTCGAAGTGAGCCATGCTTCTGCCCTCGAAACTTCTTGAGGTGAAACTTCACTCGAAGCGGGTTAAAATTTACTTAAGATGGAAATATTTACTCGAAAGTGAAAACACCGTCACTCGAAATCACAAGAATGAATGTTCGAAACCCAAACTTAGGGATTCTTAATCCCCACGAGTGCGAATGCGAGTTTCGATCGATTAGAATTGAATTTGTCACGGTGAATTGAATTTGTGGACGGTGAAGTGCGTCAGATTCGCACTTTTCAATTTCGAACGAAAAATATCCCGACGATTCCGAGTGGCGAATTTACTCTTTGTATGAGGGAAAAGTCATTCGAGGGAATTCAGAGGACGCGAATCACGCACGCGCCGGCCGCCATTTCCAGGTTTCGCGACATTTTTCTGATTTCCGGCGTGCTTCCTCGGAGTGCTTCGCGCGAAATTTGGAACGGAATATATATATTTGGGAAAATCTGTTTCACGGATAATTCACGAGCTTACATACGTGACGTGAATGATTGAATCGTATGGTAAAATCAAGTATCTTTATCAAAGGCGAGTAACTCTGCTGACGCCGTCGTCTTCTTGATCGTCCTCGTCGTCCTCATCTGTGTCCTCGTCCTCGTTCTCTTCATCGATCTTGTCTTGCCATCCTACAACCGTAGGATTCGCGTGTCTCACAGGATACGGTTCGTCTCGCAGTTTAGGAATAGACGGAAAGTCGTCCCTGTCGCAGGCGATTTCTGTTACCCTCCCCTCCTCCAGAACCTTCTTCCGCGCCTTACGGATCTTCGGCTGCGCGTAAATGACGTTATTCGGTGCTACTTGAGGATCTCTCCAGACCTGGGGATGTAATACTTTTTAATACTCTTCGTGGGGAAGAAATACGCGTTGCCGGGGAAGGGTTCGCGCACTCGTGGTATTTGACTGTTACTCGCCTCCGCGTTCTCGACGCGCGTTTGCGGCGCGGCGTGAACAATCTCGATCTCCGTCATTTCCGCGTGAAATCCGTAATTACTGTATCCAGGCGTTTCATGTTGAATCGTACTTCGGCATCGATCGGGGCACTTGGAGCTCGGAGTGGCGTCGCCGTAATAATTCGGGCACGTGGGTGGTGCACGTAGAATTTGACTCTCCGGAGCCGGGTGAGCGTAATCGTAGGAAGGTCGTGACTAAAAATCGAGAGGCTCGTTATTATATTAATTAGAATGATGAAATGATCAGCAATGTGCAACGAAATCGTCGATTAAGAGAATTATTTGGATCGTCGGTTAAAATTAGTCGGCGAGGCATATTAATCGTAATTGCGAAAATTAGACGCGTCACAGTTCTCCAGTTATTGAATTATTCTTGGAAAAATAATCGGTAAAGGATTCTCTCTGACCTGCCTGGTGACGGTGCTGATAGTCGAATCAGTCGGCAGATCCAATTTTCGTTCGAGGTTTTTCTTTCTGCCAACCGGGTGCATCGTCATGTAATAAATTCTCGGTACGAGGATACCGAGGATAATCGAGTAAGCCGTGCTGACAGCGCCGAAGGAGACGATTGCGTCGCGATTTTCTGGCTGTATCAGTACGAAGGAAATCAGCCATACCGTCCATACCACCAGCAGACCGACGGCGGTGCCGAAGAAGCACTTCCCCTCGCGATAGTTCCGTTTTATCTCGGTGATGAAGCAGCATGTGACGAAGAGCGCGATCAACAGAAATATGTCGTAGCCTGTGACGAGAAGAATGAAATCATTTCGCCAGATACCAGATTAATCGAGGAATTTTCATACATATGAATCGGTCGAATGGAAAACTTGCGGGAGAATTTGAAGAAATTTACGAGAGGAAATTTATCTCAACAGACGTATATTATATCCCGAAACGAGGAGAATTCGAATTTTGATTGTACGAGATCAACGCGAGGCTTCTTGCACAAACGACGACGAAATCGGAAGAGAAACGACGAGGTCGAAAGGGTAACTCGGAAGATGAAATTTTGAGGAAGTTTATGCGGCGAAAAATTGCTGTGTCAAAATTCACCGAAATTCTGGTGTTACTTTAACACAGGGAGCATGTTAAAATGCACAGATATATGTTAAATTAACATATTCACCTTGTTAAAGTGACATAAAAATTCGTACGGACCGTTTGTGACGGAAACTTTTTTACTGCGTACGGAAGAAAATGAAAAAGTAAATTTTCGTAAAATCCCTTGAGTAAAGGACGTGAAAAAAATAACCTAATAACGCGATGAAGACGAGGCTCCTGGCGACCGCGGCCGAGTCCGTCGTGTTGAGGACGAAATACATGATCGATATAGCGAGCTGCACGGCGGACATGAAGAACACCATGGCGGTCTGTAGGTATCCGTTGACGTGGCTGACGAAAACACCGCCGGTGGGTAAAGCCAGGAAGAGGGCCCTCGAGAGCATGATCGAGAACGTGAGGCCGAACGCGAGGGTGGCCAGGAGGATTCTCCGGGCGTTCAGGCTCTCCGCGCCGAAATAATCGTCCGCCATGCAGAAGGGCAGCGCTGTTAGCAGGGTAAACACGTTGGCCAAGATGAGGGCGATCGTGAGGGTCGGATTGCCGTCGAGCATCCGCTCGCTCGCGAAACGATAGACGATGAACACGACGATGACGCAGCACGCGAGCGTGCCGCATACCACGGCGATCAGGCAAATAGGAACGTAGACGTTGCTCTTCAGGATGCTCTTGCCGACTGTATCCGCTGCAACGTTCCGATTAATCTCATCGCTAATCGGATCGATTGTGTCTTCGATAAGCCGTGTGTATTACATTAATTAAAGGATTTTTCGGAAAAGATTCGCGTCTGTGATAACTTGGGCGTTTTTCAAAGGGCTTCGCGACACGAAGATTTTCAGAAATGTTCGAATTAACTTCATTCGAAGTCACAATCATCCGCCTCATCAGTTTATTTCCTAGAGGCCTCAAATTGTTGAAGCTATCTTTATCAGGGACGTGGATGCAACTGGGAATCGGGCGCCGAAAGCTACGAAAATAAGAAAAGTCGTCTAAATTAATCGAACGATTTTGAAGCAAATAAAATAATCGACAAAAAGATTCGTCCTGTAAGTGGAACACTGGCTGCAATTGGATTAAAGCTTCAGTCTGAAGCCTTTGACATGCGAATCTATAAGCATCGAGTCACATTTAAGAGACGCGCGTTGACGCGTTGCATCGCGCACGGCTTTTCACGACGCACTCACCTTTCGCGACGACACTTTCACGGGGGCGATTCTGAAAATTCGCGCAATCCTCGCAGTTCCCGGCGAGATCCCGCAGGCAAAGGGCCGGCATCCCGGACATGGCTTTTTCCGGGAGGGCGCGCCACTCGGACCCTGCGATCCCGTAGAACGCGATCTCGACGAGGTCGTGCTGCGTCTTCATGGCGACCGCGTATCTCACCGAGTGCGAACTCGGTTGCATGCGCAGCGCCTCGTACACGTCGGAATCGCGAATTTCCGGCCGTGATTCTGGACGAAATTGCGACTCGGTGCAGTTTCCGTCGCCGCCACCGTCGTCCTCGTCGTTGCTGGGGCAGTTTCTCCCCCGGATGTCCTGGAAGACTTCCGCCAACCCGACGACGGCCTTGCCGATGCCGAGCAAATACGGAGACCGCTCTGCGGAGATCCCGGAGTCCCGCAGATACTCGTCCACGGTTGGGTATTCGCGATCGAACCCGAGAGTTTCCGGCTTGATGATGTACGAGCCGGCTGGCGTGACATCTGGACAATTTCACAGACGTCGTCGGTACTGAATTCAGTTCGATACGTCCTGAATATCTTTCTCGGCTCAGACGTATTTATGATGATCGCTCGAGCTCAACGGAATGACAATTCACTCGATTCGAAACTGCTCAATCTGCTCTCTCTCTCTTTCTCTCTCCCGATATATATTTTGCGAGTCATTTTGGGAAACGAGTCATTCGGATCGATGATGGGAGTACAACGGGAGGGTTGGGAGGTCAGTCCAAGAGTCAGTCTTGAGCTCTCTCTTCGCCGCGGAAACTTAAATTCGCCAATTTATCGAATGGCTTTAGCGCAACATCGGTTAACTTTAATTACAATTCAACCGTCTCTTCGTCCGATTCTAACTTTAATTCTAGAGGGAGAGAGAGAGAGAGAGAGAGAGAGAGATAAAGGATCGGCCAAACTAAGGTTAAAGTTAACCGACGTCGGTGAGACTGCCTCTTAACTCCCGACTACCACGGCTAAACTTGGCCGGCGTAACCACCGTTACGGGCCGCGATCTAACTTCAACATTTAAATGGCGCTATAATTTTGCTTAATAGCGGCAAGGTGTTCTCGTTCTCGCGTTCGCACGAACAAACGGAGAAAGAACGAGGCCGGCGAGGAAGGCGGCGGTAAATAATTTCCCTTAAGGGGGAATAATTCGTCTCTCCCACCGGGGTGAAGGGACTATTCCTGCTTCTCATGTAAAAACCGCGCGAGAATGAAATTCTTCCGGGCGGCCTCGTAATTTCCCCGTCATCCGTCAACGTCCGGAATTACTTACCGTCGATGCCCGAGTTATCGAGCGGCAGCAGGAACCACGTCTTCGTCCCGGGACCCTTCGGTCCCTCCCTTCGTCCCAGCCACCGTCGTATGTCACTCGCCTCGCCGATCGCGACTATCACCGCTTCCGTGACGTTCGCGTCGTCTTCGTCGTCGACGTGCCTCACGCACACACCGGCGTCCTCGCTGCTCCTCAGGAAACGCTCGAGGACGCCGACTGTGTTGGCGAGCGCGAGGTCGACGTTCACGTACCTGGTGCTCAGGTAGTGCGTCAGGATATCGATCACAGGTAACGTGAAGTTCTGTTCTGCGTAGGTGACGATCGGCGGGCCACCATAATCACGCAGAGGAACCAAGGCGGAGCCGTACGAGGAGGGCACCAAGATACCCGTCTCGTGGTGCGGCGCGCAACCTCCCTCGACCGTCGCTCGCAGGACTCGCTTGAACACCTCGATCCCGTCGTGACACGTGTCGAACACTCTTAATCCTGTGCGGCCGGTGAGTTATGTACAATTATTATTATTACTAAGAGCTCCAATAACCGATTTAGAGTGTGATACTAGTAATACTCTTGTGAACAATTGTTTTTCATGCAAATGAGATTAGGCGTACCTGAGAGGTTTGCGTATAGAAACGCAAAAGGTGACGCGTTGCCGACGCTTTGTGTAAAGAACAGTTCAATTCGCTCACCCAATCGCCGTCCCGGTACGTAGTTATGCTCGTTCAATGTCCGCACCACGTACAGCGCCGTTGAAATCTGTTGGAGACCCTTGGCTGACGATACGTTGCAATATCGTCCTCGATTGGCGTCCGCGAAAACTGCTCGAACATAGTCGAATAATAATCGCAGCGCGAGGGGTGGCGGGTAAATGAATGAGAAAGTACGCGCAATCGTTTCGAGCTCTGCGTAAAGCAGATCGGAGCGATGTTGATTGAGCGATGTCTTACCATTGAAAATAGCGTCACCCGCGGTCTCCAGTAACGTGTCGTTTTTAGGGCAGAGGAGAGACCGGTCGGTCGTGTTGGAGAGAATTAACGGGAAGACGATCAGCAAGAACGATACTTTGATCACCGCATCATTCGCCATTGGCCGGTTCATTATCATAATTATATACTGTGTTAACTCGTCCCCTCTCGTTGCTTAATACGAATTTCGTAGTTTTATCGCTCCTCCAATCAGCCGTGATGATCAACATTTACGACGAATTTAGCCGCCGGTTGATCCCGCCGGGTGACGTCATATAGGACGCGAAGCGTCGTTTATCACGAAGGGCACCCCCGTCCGCGAAAGCCTCATCCTGCCGCTCTCCGCCGGACATTCATTTCGATCGCGTTAGTATCATTAAGTCGCGTGACAAGAGCCACTTCGATGTTTAACAATTGGCACGGAACACGCGCCCCTCCTCTCTCTTTCTCTCTCTCCTTCTCTCTACCTCTCTTTCGCGCGTCCTATGCTCTTCGTTCTAATTTTTACAATTACCGGATCGACCGTCACAGGGCATGTCTTCTACGCCCAGTGACGGACACCGAGCTCCGGGAGCCCCGAGTACGATATTGATTTTCGGACAATTACGTCGCGCCCGCGGAAGAATTCCCCCCCCCCCCGGGGGTCTCTTTTCGCTCACGAAGGGGTTTGCCGAGATGGCCTCGTCACACTCCCGACGTTTCCATCCCTCCGTGCAATTTTCGCTCGACCGTCAGCGATTTCTAAACGCTTCGAAAAATCCCTTGTGAATAATTCCCTGTTTCCGGAGGCACGCGACGATGGATCGTCTCGATCGTATTTTTTTGTCCCCCCGGGAGAGATCTATCACGTCTCTTCCCCCCTCGTAACGTCGACGTGTTCGCGATGCACCGGCTGAAAGTCGCCCCGCGACACTGCCCGACGTATGATGTACGACGTAGTAGAAGCCGTACCCACGTCGGGGTGCCACCTTGTTTCTTTTTTAAACGAATTACTCAGTCACGTTGCCGCTGCCGGACACGCGCGATGCGTGCGAGTGACAGCTGATTTTTCGCGACACGCGGCCGACAGTTCGCGCGAAATCGACCACGTGCGCCAGGTAGGAACGATCGAGGCCTGGCCGGCGGTGACACGCGCGGGTTAACCTGTGCCTGCGAGCTTGCCGTGTCAACCCATAAGCCGATGTCCCAATTATGGCTTAACTGTTTTCGTCGAATAAATAAATCATTTGATTGTACAGGGTGATTCGTAAATGCATGTCCCATAGTTCAGGGATGAATCTATTCACCCTCTAAAATACGGACGTGTATTTATGAACCGTCCTGTACAATATACAGCTTTTTATGCTTTTCAACATACAATTCCCGATTGTGTCTGTTCGCTTTCAATAAAACCAGTTCTAATAATCTGAGATTAACGTTTTTACTATCATGACTTAAATCTAATCGGGCGGTTGACTCAACGGAATTGACCAATTATATCGATCGGTTCAGCTAATCGGCCAATGCGATTGGTCAATTCCGTTGAGTTAATCGTCCGATTAGATTGAAACCATGATGGTAGAAACGGGTATATTTTTCCCTGCAGAAAATAAATAGACGTCATTCTTTTATCAAAGATGTTTGCGACTGAATTATGACTTCTAATGGCTAAGTTGTTTTCTTACGCTCCGGAGAAGTTCGTGAGAAGACATCTCGAGCACGAAAATCTTTCTTTAAGTCGTCAACGCGCAATCTATTTATCACAATCCCGATCCTAACTATTTGTATCTCGAAAGTGGCGTTTTACGTTAATCTCTCTCTTGGCTTCAAACGTCGTATCGATTGGATCTGAAAGACATGCCAAGATGTCTTAGGATCGAGTCGACCGGAGACTCGACGGGGAAAATGCGAGACCCGGCGAAGGGACGACGTTAACTTAATTTTCGCGAATTCACTTTACGACGACACGTCTCCCAGGCCGCGGCTTTAATTCGCCTGAAACGCGAGACGAATTTTACGGCAGTTTTATAAATATTTCATGCCCAGTAGGACGGTCCGCCCTCTTTCTTTTTTTGTTACCCCCCCCCCCCCCCCNTTTTTTTCCCCCCCCCCCCCTCCCTCTCTCTCATTTTCCCGATAAGTCAGAGAAAACATTTTCGAGAGAACCCTTTCGCCGATTTAATGCCTCTCCCTTAGCGAGCGTATTAAATATATGTTTTGTTCGTCTTTTATTTTCTTTACTTTTCTCCAAATGAACGATTGTGCGCTTTATAGATGCAGCGGATTTATGGAAAGTCAAAAGTTCGAACTTTTCCAGCGACAGATTTATGTAACAAGTTTGATAAATTACGTTTAAATCAGATATGCTTCACTAGTCCCCAAAGAAGGTTTACACAATCGGTGTCCTGTGAACTCGTTGTTCCACACATCCCCGATGACAATGATGAATTACCTTCAATCGGATACAGTGGCTGTTGGTCCTTAAAAAAAAACACCACGTGACTATAAACTAGAACTAACTAATACACGTGTATCAGACTAGCGTGTAATCCGTGTAAGTTCGAACAATTTTAACTTTTCTCGGTCCACCGAACAAATTATATAATTCCTACGATGAATCATCAGTTGACTCGACGATTGCGAATTGCTCATCGACCATGTCAACGCGTAATTTCTTCAGTGGACGTAACATTTTCTTGAACGAGGTTCACCGCCGATTTCGTAGATCCAACCGCTTGTTTTCTCAGGTGTTTGCGAACATGCGACACACCATCGGTGGCGTTCAACAGTCAGTCAGTCACCGACAGTGTGTCGATTTTCCGATTCGCGTTAATCGATTCTCAAATTTCAACTCTCGAACTGCCGGTTCGTACTTGTCGAGCGAACCGGACGAGCCGGACGGCGGCGGTATCGGGGCGCCATGTATACCCGAGCGAGGCGCAGTTACCTTAGCCATCTATACACGTTCGCCCGCGAGCACCTGCGATGGCAGGTAGCAGGCCGTCGCTGCTAGCCGAGCGTGACGTAGCCTCTAGCCTAGAGCTCGATCCTCTCGGTCGCGCATGTATACCTGGACGACGGGTAATTTTCCTAGAAATCGCAATTAACGTCGCGCACACGCGATCAGGCGGCCGCGATAAGGCGCTATCGGGAAGAGCGTCGCCCTTCGAGGGTGTCCTCTCTCTCTCTCTCTTTCCTTATCGCGCGGAGGCGAAAATTCGTCCTTTCCCGTCTCCTAGCCCGAGAGCCCTTAGAGGCGCAGGCAGCGGAAATCTAGAGCGACCTAATAGTTCCGTTCTGCCGACGTCTATAAATTCGGTCCTAGACTCCAAAACTTGAGATTCCGTGCACGGCCAGCATGTCGGTCGAGAAGGTGGCCGGAGGAGGTCGGCTTCCATCCGCACGTTCGGTTGCTCCTCGCCAGGCGCAGATCTAGGCTAGACAGGCCGCCGGTCTCCTAGTCGGATGATGCTCCCTTCGCGCGCCACGCCCTCGCGGCCACGTCGCAATTATCCCGAAAAGTCGCGGGGACGATGGGTGAGAGACGATCGGTTGGAGATCGGGATAGGAAATTGGAAATCCAATGAGACGGCGACGACCGAATGTTCCTTTGAAGATTTAAGCGCCCTCGCGAAGGCTGCCCGATCGTTTGAACGTTATTAACTTCGATTTCAGCGGGAACGGCTGCGTAATCGAAGTAATTGCGCGCCCTCGAGATTCTCTCGCTCTCGAACCCTGTGAAAGGTGGAAACAATCGGACGTTAACATCGGAGAAATATGATGTCTTTGTCTTTTGAAACGAGAGACGAAGTAAAAGTATATTCTTCTCAGATCAGAGGCAGTTACATTTAAATGGCAGCGTAGCGGATTAGAGTTAGATTATTTCGTTCGGGTGTCCCGGTTATAAATTCATTCGCGTCTGTACACGGCCTCGAGTTGCTTCATTAAGTTCGCAGAGCCGTCGTCGTCGTGCCGTCACCTTTCTTGCTCGTCACGTTTGACCGATGTCGGGCCGACGTTAATTTCACCCCCGTGAATCCCCCGAAGCTGGAAAAATCCCGGCAATAGCGCGGGTCAAGGACGGCCCATTATGCAACTGTGGACAGTCGCGAAAGTTTCCGTGTAAAGCAGGCGGCAGATCGCCGCGTTGTTATCGAACGACATCTCGCCAACTTTGAATTCGGGATTCACCGCGACCTGAAAACAAGAAAGCTCCTTTTCACGGAACTTGTCTCGGGGAGCTCATGTTATTCACAATTTCGAGCGAGAGAAAGAGAGAGAGAGAGAGAGATTATTCTCTGTATTTATGAAAATAACTTTATTACACGCGCGTCGCGCGTACCTTCAGCGTGTAGTGTCCCGGCTCGAGCTCGGAAATGTCCACCCACTGGCAGTCGATATTGTGTTTGTAAATGTCGCTGCAATTAACGGAGATACCTTGGTCCCCGTAATTGGCGCATTTGTATCTAAAACAGAACGATAACAGTTTCAAATTACAGGGGATCGCGAATTAATGAGTATGTCGATGCAAAACGTTATCGCGTGATAAACAAGCGGGATCGCGTAACGATGACGAAATTATTTTTTTCATACATTACGCAAATCGCGCGTAACGCGCGACAAGGTGACACCGACGGGACGCTGATTGCGTCGTTACGGGTTTTTTTATTTTTTATTTTTTTACCTGGGCTCGACACCGGGCATACACTGATTATCCTCGAGGCAAAAGGACGCTTTGTGGCCTTCGGCGACTTTATTACCGCTCGAATCGATCACGTCGAAAGTCGCGAACACCTCCATCGAGTGATAATGCCTGCGGGAGTAGAAATTTCGGATGTTCGTTGTATTAATATATAAATGGAATATTATATTTCGTTTAATATAACAGAAATATAACATTAATATAACAGAATATAGAAAGGGAGAGAGAAAGTGGAGGATATTATATTTTAATGACAAGTTTAACACGGAAATTCAGCGCGATTCTTTCCTTCTTGAGTAACAGAGTAACGAGTTATAAAATAAAAATAATTCTGCCAATTCTGCACAGTAAAAAAACATTTTGTATTTGCGTTAAAATCGATTCCGGTTAAGATTCTTGTGTTAAATTTTCAAACATACCTATGTATTAATTTAACCGTGTTTATGTTATCTCAACGTTTTCCGTCGATATTCAACACGTGCAAGCGTTAACACATTTTATACTTCAGCGTCGACTAACGCATCAATTTCGTGTTCATTTTGGATGCAACGTTTGCGTTACTTTTCAACGCGTTCGTCTCGTGTCGAATTGAACAAGGAAACTCGAACGGGCCATTCGAGATACGTGAAATACGCCACAATTAACACATAATAATAAACCATTTTTCACCGTGCAGAATTTTAACGACATCATGTTAACGAGTAAAATCGATCGGCCGGGCTGCGTGAAAATTTCGCGTACGTAATATGAACATTTCGAGAGCCGCGAGATCGATTCCGTGCGATCGTCACGTCACTCACATATGACACATGTGCCATTCCCAGAGATGCTTGGGCACAGACGGGCGGAAGTCCGCGGTGCCCGCATTCAGGATTTTCGCCGTGAACCGCAACAGCCGTCTGGTCTCCAGGTACCAGTTCGTGGTCTCTTTCTGCACCTTGTAAGCCTGCGAGGCCACGCAGTTCTCCTCCATCGCGCACTGCAGCCAATACAGCTGGCGGTCCTCCAGATGCGCGGTGCGCATCAGCTCGATGTGATCGAACACGAGGTCGGCCATCTCGCGTTGGCACACCACCCCCGCTATGTTTCCCGCTGTGCCTGAAACCGCCGTCGCGGTCACTCTCGCGTTTAATCTCGATTTACGGTATCTCGATGCACGGTGCGAGGCAGGAAACCGGCCGAAATCGGGCTCGAATCCAGTCGAACAGACTCAATTTCGGGTTTGTACAGTTCGGCCGAACCAGCTGATTCTCTCTCAGCAACATTTCCGCCGGTTCTCTTTCGAGTCTTTCGGTGATCAAAAGGGCATCCCGAATCGAAATTTTGGCTTTATCTCGAACCTTTAATTCTACAACACGAGGGGAGCTCAGATAGCAAAATAGGTTGAATTTCAATTCTAATAATGTAATTTACTCCCCCTCTTATTTTTACCCTCGAGATGCCGTAAATTTCTGTTTGTGCGGTTTTGGCGTCAAAATGTTAGCGACGAAAGGTTATTCGAGATGGCGTTAAAATTAATAATCTAGAAAATTAAAGATTCAAGAGAAAGGGGAAGGAAACAAGCGTCAGTATCGTCGAAGTAGGTTATTAAATAGGCCATTTAAATGGACGCGAATTATCCTCGGGAGCGTCGAAGTAGCATCAGAACTTCGGCGTCTGTATCGTGCGTTCAGTTTCTTTATCCTTCTGCAATCGACGAGATTTCGCAACTCCGATTCCTGCCGATCCGATTGCCGACACGACTCGATTCGACTCGCGATCGCAATTCATGCAACGGGGTTCGCCCGACTCCGAGACTTGCTTCTCTTCACCCGATATCTTTCGCAGCGTTCGAGAACGTCGTAAAAGTCGCGCGATGTCGACGCCGACCGCGATTCTCATTTCGACACATGAGCTCACCGTACGCGCGACACGTGCTTAAAATACACCGATGTGTACAGCGTGTACGAGAGACGGAAAGAGAATAAGTGGTAGAGGACGCGAAGTACGAGTCGGCGCGCTTTTCTACTGTATCAGATTTACATGCGAAGCGGATCGCGACGCGCGGACAGACGACGGCACTCTCCGCGCGTCGTCGACTTACTTTTCACACCGTAAATCTGCAAAAAGTCGCCTCCGCGAGCAGATGTTTGCTATTGTGCCTCCGCGATGGCCGAGGTCTTCGACGCTCCCGCGGATATTTGTAAACATCCCGTCTACTCCGCGAGGAGACGGCAAAAAGTGTTTATTCGTGCGAGCCCACCCCGAAGGGAGCGTGTTTCCCGTGACAATACCAGCGGCACATCGTAGTCGCGTCGTCGCATCTTTTTTGCGACAACGATCGCAAATATTTGATTACTGGTTTCTCCCCAGTCCGAAAGGTACCTGGACAGTCGACGACCTCGTCGTGCAGGCAATCCGCGAGATTCCCCTCGTTCCCGCGGCACTGTATCCCGCCGATCGAGATCGGCATCGCCTCACCGCCGAAGAAGTCGCTCTGCGTCGCGACGGACGCGTAACCGAGGCCCAATTGACGACACACCACGGCGGCCTCGAGCATGGTCCAACTGTCGCCGCAGACGACACCCCAATCTGAAATCGAATCGGTGGTCGCGCGAACCCTTTGCTCTCACCGTTCGTCGAGCTCGCGATTTTGCCGTCGAAGTTCGAAGATCGTTCGTCGAATTGTTATTAATGTAAGATATATCACCGCATTTCACCGCAATCGCCAGTTGCGTTCATTACTATCGTTTCCTCTTTCCGAGCTTGATTTCAATCGGATCAATGTTCTCTCGAGCGCGAATTGGGATGTGCATTGTTTCGGTCTTACTAATCTTTTTTTTTTACCGTCGATTGAATTTTGCCACTTTTTTCTCCTCAGCTCTTGTCAACTTTCGCTAAAAGGTTTTCGACCGAAATTGTAAAGGAACCGAATGATTCGTTTTCAGTTTCGGCCGGTCGCTACAGTTAAGACTGGTTTTTTTTCTTATTCGCCGTTTCTTTTTCACTTTTCAACATTTTTCCACCTTACCCGCGTCGCCCAGTTTGATTTCTATCCGACCTTCGGTACGCACACGGCCTCCGGACAACCGCAGTGCCGTTCCCCGCTGATACGTGTCCTTTATTCTCGACTTTGGCGGCTTCGCCCGCGAAACCGACGTCGTCTCGGCTTCCTCGTCGTGCGAGCAAACCACACCGGCCGCCTCGTTGCTGCCGCAGTCGGAGACGCCCCAGCTGTCGAAACGGCATTTCGCGAGTTCGTCCTCGGATCCGTCGCAGTAAACGTTGTCCATCCAGTATCTTCCTTCGAAACGTTTGCAAGATGAGAAGTTGCGTCTTGTTACACAATCTAACATCCCCGACTCGACCGACGAAGTAATAATTACTTTCGTAGGTTTCGTGTAAGCGGCAGAGCAGAGAGAGCCACGTGTCAAACGAATGAAAAGCAAGAGGAGAAAAATCCGATACTCGAGACCGCGGGAAAATACTGGATCCGGACTTCCGGCTTGGCGTCGCCTCCTCCACCAAGACTCTTAATCCCGACGTCTCGTGTATACTCGTTTTTCGTTCGCTTCTTCCGGGAGAGAAACAAACTGAAACTTTCCATCCAGTTGATTGCACTCAGGCTGTCCTCCTCTCCCTGAAGAAGCGAAGTGAAATGTGCGGGAACGCGTACCTACGAAGTGGACGCTTCCTGTGGCCGGAAGCCGCGTCGAGGGCGAAATAACAAAAAGACTGGAAATTCGTCAGCGGGCGGATCAAGTTCGAAGCGACGCGTTAAAAATACGACGATCAATCGGAGCGGACGCGATCCGCTTGCGGCTCGCAAGCTCCCGCTGCGTGACCGCGCGGGGATTAAGATGAGAAGGCAATATAATATATCGCTTCGTCTCACTTCTGGCCTGGCCGAAGTGCCCGTCCGTCGTCGCTCTAATTGCACCGTTGAAACCTAATTGCCTGCAAACCACATCGGCCTCCAGCTCGTCCCATTCGTCGTCGCACACGCTGCCCCACTTCCCGTCGTGCAGTATCTCCACGTTTCCTGCGCAACACAGAGAGAGAGAGAGAGAGGGAGAGTGAGGGCAATAAAATCTCGCGCTTTTCACGCTTTTCCCGTCGCGCACAAAAAACAGGAAGCAACGCGTGTGGGCGTGCGATCGATTCGCGCGGCGGACTCGCGATTCGACCGGCGCGGATATTGCGCGACAAATTCCGACAAACGACGAGACGAACGCTCGAGAAATGTCGCCGATAATCGTCCCGATAAGGGAGCCCGCTGTCGGAGCATTATCGTTCTCTCTGCGTTATCCTTCTCTTTAACGAACGTTATCCAGCTGTTGACTGAGAAAGCTACTCGACTTCCGGGCGGCGCGCCGTTTGAACGTTTCAACGGATACGAGGATTTCCCTCGGGAGAGAAAGAGAGAGGGAAAAGTTCTCGTTAATTAATCGTCCCTCCCGGAGAATCTCGGGTGGATCGCTCGGACGATCGTTCCGCGAAAGTCCGAAGGACGCCCGGCGGATCTCGAGTCCGTGTCGGAGAGGCGGGAGGGAGAATCGCGCGGCCTTCTCTCTTAACGACTCCAACCCGCCGCAGTTGCGGCCGCGGTTCGCGACCCTATTTCACACAGGGACTTCACGATGGCCACGTTATCCGGCTGATTCCCGGTATTGCGTGTACGTGCGGCCTACGTGACGTGCGGCGTGCGGTCGCGCTGACACATGGTCGTTGACATAAATCTTCCTCGAGTTGACCTCTTTTTAATCGTCATTGCGCTCGCACGCGCGCGATTTCCACCGAGCCAGCCGCGCGATAATAAAAGGCTCGCCCGTCTTCATTTTTTCTCCCCCTTCGCGGCTCAGACAGAGACAGGGAGATTTATGGAGTCTGTATCGCCCTTTATCACGGGGGGAAATATCAAGCGCAGCCGGGGTGAAACTTCGCGCTTTTATCGGCCGGAAAGTCGGGATTTATACGAGAACGCGACGGACGGTGCGCGGCCCCTTTCGTCGTACCGGTCGGTCGGTGTGTGCCGGCCGCGTCGGTACGCGAATTATTGACGTATCCGCATCCGTGCCTCAGCGGTAAGGAGATCGAGAGAGAGAGAGAGAGAGGAACATCGCGCTCCTCATAATTGATCGACGCGTCAATTGATCCGGCTGAACGATCGAGTTCCCTCCGTTCCTCATACGTCACGAGGCGAGCGCCGTTTCCCCGACGTAAGCGCGTAACTCTCCTTCGTGGCGGCGAGCTCTCGTTGCGTTTATTTGTTTATTTGTTCGCCCATTTACTCTTCTTAGTCTTCGGCTTATTTGTGAATCATAGCGAATTCGATCACCGGCACGGATTGGCGCGTATTAAAGGCCGCTACGTACCGAATACAGTGGGATAACATGAACTCCTCGACGATGTAGTAATTAATATGTGCTCTATTAAATAACATGATTTTTTATCATTGGGCGTTTCATCGTTTAGAATGTGATTTTTGATTTAAATAACCGTTTCATATATTGCAGTATTTAAGCGTGCACGAGTCAGCCCTCTTGTTCCATAATTTGTTACGACAATTTCGTCATCAACGTATCGTTGCGCAGCTGTGATACTTTTTATATGCGCAAGGATTTATAACGCATACGTTAAAAGTGATGGAATGGCGCCAATGTAGCGAGGGTGATCGAATTCATCATCGGATACACAGTAAAAAACATTTTGTACTTGACTGAGTCTATTCAACATGTAGCGTTAAAATAACATTTGCGAGCGTTAAAGCAACACATTCATATTACAGTGTCGACTGACATATTATGGTTATTGCATAATTTAATGTTTTACATAATATTTGCGTTACTTTTCAACATATTCACCTTGTATCAAATCAACACGGAAATTCGATATGTGAAACGCGTTGAGTTTAACGCGAAATTTTTTACTGTGCAATTTTTCACGTCTGAACGATCAAGTCTCGACATAAGATGATCGCGCGGCACCTTCGTGATCGCCACTGCTGCCTCCGACCAGCTTCAATGCTCCCTCCTGCTTCTTCAGCTTCCGGTAATTCTTCCGCAGCTTCTTGATTATACGCGCCTTCATGTCGCGCGTCACCCAGGTGTCGTTGTCGCTCGCGCAGAACTCAAAAACGGCGGACAGCAGCAGCAGCAGACCGAGCGCGAGCTCCGTTCCGCGCGGTCTCATTTTTTCGCCTCGCTCTGATATATTATCACCGCGAGAGAGCCTGACACGGAAACCAATTTGTACGATTCACCGCACTTTTCCGCTCGTTGCCTCCGCGGGAGAAGTCAAGCCCGAGAGAGGATTCGCGTCGACTTCACCGACCCGTCCCGCTCGTCGGATCACTCAGACAGCCGCGCGCAAAGTCGCGAGAGTCGTGCTGTAATTGAAATTTTCGCGCGTTTAAATCGGCCGCTTCGCGAAGGGGGAATGTCACTCGCGTGAATCGACTCCCAGGTGGAGCGGAAAACGTCACAGACAACGTCAAAATGACGATGAAAGTGGCTCTAAAAAGTAGCTGAAGTCGTTCTCCGTCCTGCGAAGAAGTAAACCGAGATGTTCGCGAAACAAGTCGGCAACAAGTCGGCCACGAATGACGTATTAGCTCGGAGACCAAATTGACCGTAAAAGCTCACTTTTCCCATCATTTCGACGTTATTTCAACGTCCTCGTCGTCGTCTGTTCTACCTGGCTCGAGCTCTCTCGTCCCGAATCACGGTTGATCCCCGCTGAGCCGGGAAATGCGCGTCGTCTCGAAAATGTGCACGTGCATTTCGCGTACAACTCCGCGGGCTACTGAACGCGCGAGGCCACGCAATGCGTTCGCTTCTTCTTGACGCGAATGCAACGCGCCGCCCGCCGGCTTATAAGATCATCGACGCTCCAGATGGCGGATCGCTTCTTTTTCCGCGTCGTCGATCTCTTCCTGAATGGCTCGCCCGTGGCCCCGATGACCCATTTAGGCCTCGTTGAGAGACGAGATTAGAATAGCCGCGATGATGTATCCCACTTCTGACAGGAGATGGGAGTTCGCGCGAAGAGAACACGGGGCAGAGAAAGAGAGAGAGGGGGATTCCTCGTTTCTGTCACCGCTCTCGCTGTGATCTTCCCTTCCTCAGACACGTCTTTGACACCCGACGCCTGTCGGGCGTGCCGCCGAGAAACGTCGCGAAATTCTTGGCGGGAGTAATTTGATTTTCCGCTTAGACGAAAAGCGGACACCGGCTGACGTTGGACTGACGACGGGAGGCGGAATTTCCAGGAAGCGCGACAATTTCTTGTGTATCGATAACCGAGAGAAAGAATCAACGGATCAAGTATTTCGTGAACTTGGACGAAGTACAACTCCGAGGAATGATTATCTGGTCTAAATTTAAATGTCGGTAAAAATAAGAAAACACCGAAGGAGGAAGAGAGCGAAAGAATGAGACAAAGAGGGGGAGGGAAGGGGGATAGCGAGAGACACGCAAAAGTGATTTTTCTCCGCTCGAATTCGAATCTATGGAAAACTTCATCGGAGGGAAAGGTCAAGGTTTCCCGGGCAGATTTATGGATTCCGAGACGTTTTTAGCGGATCCGTCGTCGTCGCGTGGGCGAAAGCTGCGGTTCTCTCCCGAGCGAAAAATTTACGCCAGTCCGCGGCCGACCCGATCTTCCCGATTCCGCGGGTTGAACGATGCCCGGGTGTGATGATTGATACTGTCGTGTGCGTCGCTCGAACCGACCCGTTTATATCGGTTCGAGCCCGCGCTCGAACGGAGTCGCGGAAACGTGCGGCCATATCGTTCCGCCGTGTCAGATGAGAGAAACGAATGAGTTTAACCCTCAATTACTACGGTTAAATTTGGATAACTGTGCGCGATGAGCTCACTTTGACCTCAATAATAAATTAAGTTAACGGCCCACGAAAAGAGAGCCGCTTCGACTTTCGTTACTTATTACCGTCAAAGGGGCACGGCGGTGCAAAGGCCGTACAAAAATAAAAAAAGAAACGATAGTGAACACACACACACACACACACACACACATCGTTGTCGTCTTTGTCTTTTTTATTTTTACTACAATGTATCGGTATAGATTTTTTTTAATCTATTTTTCGTAGACCGTTGAAACATGAAGTTGAGAGAGATATTGAAGAAAATGACGGCGCGCGAGTGAAACAGCTCGAAATTTTCATGCATCCGCATTATCTCTCGTAAAATGGAGAGAGAAAGAAAGAATAGCGGAGTTTCCCCTCACTGCCGAATTCGCGTGTCCTCGTTCTCTACCCCCCCCCCCCCCCCNACTTGCTAATACCGTGCTTAAGTCGCGATTCCTAATGCGACGAGCCGAACGATAAAGTGTCACGCCGGTGAATAAGTAAAAGTTTACTATCGACGCTCCTTTACGCTGAATTATTAATGTCGAATCGATATGAACGCGAGCCTATTCGGCGGGTGTACACACACGCCGACCGTCGTGTGCCTTTGCGTTGCGTGTGCGTGCGAATCCGCCGGGCTGATGTAATAAAAGAGTTGAATATGGAGAAGCGAAAGTGGAACGCTTTTTTCGTCTCGCCGGCGACAAGGCGATCGAATCGCCGGCGACGATGACGACGACGATCGGCGAGCGATCCTCGGGCGACCGCAGGCACGTGTTCGCATCTCACCGATGCACTGGATTAACCCTTTCGGTACATTTGACGAGTGAGACTCGTCATCTGCTTACTTGGGCATAAAATGTATTACTTTTACATATTAATCCATATAGCGACAAATTAAATCCGTCCCATGGGCATAAAAATTTTAAAATAATTCAGTACTCAAAGGGTTAAACATGCGGTGCCTCAATTGAGGCACGACTCCGCCGTTCAATTCGTCCACCTGCCGCTTCGTCGCCGATTCGACAATTACGCTTCCCGTCGCGTTCGATTGTATCGTCTGCCGGTATTCAACGGTAACTCACTCTCAGACTTGAATGACACGCCAAACATTTTTGTCGAATAACATAGCGTCCTAATGTAATTTACTAGACTTGCGATCCGCTGACTGGCACGGAAGAAGGAATTAGCTTCCACTGTTAAACACTAACTTCCACAGTTAAACATGAGCTGAAATTTGGCTACCAGTTCCGTTTGTTTTGCTTACCAGACCTGAAGTTTTCAGCTGATTTTCACGACTGCGTTCGCACACGGGAGAAAAGAATTAGGTTTCAGTTTTGGGTGAATCTTGGTTGTTTTTTCGGTTGCCACGGCTCGAAAGCGCGAACGGGAAATAGGTGAAACTGCACCTTGACTACCGCGATATCATTAACTTTAACGAAATATTTGAAAAAAAGAAGGTCGAGAGAGAATATGTAAATCTCTTGTTTCCTTCGTACGAAAGTCGTGTAACAATTAACCCGGGATACGGGGTCAGTTGTCCAATTTGCATGATGTTGTTTTGAGCTTAATAACTTCTTTATGCATGAATATATATAAGGCCACTACTTGTTTTTTCACTAAAGGTATATATAAGGCCACTACTTGTTTTTTCACTAAAGGTTGCAGCTACATAAAAATGTACACGATATTATGAAATATTGTGTACAACTTTTTCATTTTAATTCGAATACAAAAAGTGATTATATACCCCGTTCTTACCTACTAATATATGTATTTTCGATACAGCTTGAATTGCGCGTTATTTCTAATACCAGTACGAGAGAAAAAGTTATATCAGGTAGTAACTATTGTGTAACGTATAGTGTTGCACATCTACGAGGAAGAATACGGCGGGAAGATGAGTTATTCATTGTGTTCGTGACATAAACCATGGCCTAGGCAGCGATGCGCGGTTGTAATCGTTCGCATTGCTGTCTAAATTTCCGATACCGCCTTGAAATTGTCTTTTCCATTATATCCCAGCCAAGCAAAACCACTAGGGCATTTTTTCACGAATGTTTATGTCGGCAGGAAAATATTCTCTGCGTGTATATTTCGAAACAATTTTGCGAGAATGATCGTGCGGCAGTATCGATGTATCAAACCAAAGCTGAACGTGACAGCGAAGAGAGCCATCGAAAATCGGCTTTCGAAGTCGTTACACTCGACACACGGCTGAGCTGGGACTCCTGACTTATTTTGTTGCATACATCTCTCTCTCTCTCTCTCTCTCTCATCTCTTTCTCGGCTTTGCACGCAGATGAATGTGCAATATTTCTCTTCGAGGACCTCGCGGTGCGCGGGTGTGCATCATTTTTCATCCGTCGCGCGTGCCGTCTCGATTTGTCGTCGCAAGTGTTTACGCGTAAAAACCCGTCTAGACGTCGAATGTAATATTTATTACGCCGGATCGCCCGTAATCGCCCGTATTGATAGTCCGGTACGCGGGCGATCTTCCAAAGAAGTTCGCTCGCCACGTGTCGGGGATCCTTAAGACAGAAAGAAAGGAAAAGAGATCTCGAATCCCAGCGGGCGTGCCAGCGCGCCATTTGTCGCGCGGACATCACCCACGTCACGCGCGCATCGCTGCAACCGTTCGAACAGCCCCCTCCGGTTTTACGAATTTCTCTCTTTCCCGACACCCCCGTTAAGATATTATTATTAGCCCAAGGCGAAGATATAATTACCGTTGCACAACGACGAACGGCAAAATCCCGCTTGTCCCGAGGCGGCAGTCTCGAGCGGCTCGAAAAGCCCGCGCTGGGGCTGGGAATGATCGAAGCAAGCTCGCCGAGTCTTTGAAATCTGGCGCGCCGGGTGCGCGCGCCGCGGCAATGGCGGCCGCATCGTCGGTCGATACGCGAGCCTAGGGACTCCACCACGCCCAATCGCAGCCATCCGGCGTTCGTCCGTCCGTCCGTTAGCGCCGTCTCACTCGTGTCCGCGTCTTCCGCCGACGCGCCGTTTCCTCTCCGTGCGCACCGCTCCGAGCGCGCGCGTCTTCTCCCCACCGCTTAACCTCTCGTCGGAACGCGTCGCGCCGCGGAGAGCGGCACGCCAGTCAGTCGGTTTTTATCTATCGCGCGGAGTGGCGCGCGGTGGCTTGGCGCGTCAACAGCGACAGAAAGAAAGAAAGAAAGAGAAAGAAAGAAAAAGAGAGAGAGAGCGGCTTCGATGCTATCCGGACAGTGACGAACCGTCGTTCCTCGCGGATCAGCGGGCGTTCGTTTCCGAAACTCCCGCGCGTAGTCACAACCGATAGCCCGCGCCGTCGTTGTTGTCGTCATCGTCGCGCCGACGTCGTGATCCTCGTCGTCGGTGGACTCGCGCGCGCGTCCCGACCGGAAAGTAGCGGCTAGGTGCGTCGTTTCGTCGGAGGGGGCGAGAAGAAGCGCGCCTCGTGGGGCCCCGTGCGGGATCGGACCGGAGCGCGCAGCGGCGGTCGGCCATTGTGCTTTCTTCGTGCTGTCGCCGACGGGACCGAGCCGTGCTTCGCTGTCGTCGGCGTGTACGCATCGTTGCCGGTGTGCTCGCTCTGTGCGCTGGAGACCGTATACCGGGTGGACTCGTAAGGAGTACGTACGCACGCGTGCGTGCGTCAGTCGTCGCCGGCTACTATCGTCGGAGCCGCACGGACCCCGCCACTGACGTCGGCCGCAGCTTCCTCTCATCGCGGACCAGCATCACGGGGTGAGTGAACGAGACAGAGATATGCGTGTGTGTGTGAGAGTGCGATAGAGACAGGCGATATCACGTTCGTTCACGCCCGTCCTCCTCGTCGCTCCTCGCGTGACATGCGGGACGCTCTGTCGGTAACGACGCCCCCCTCCTCTCCTCCCCTTATCTCTTGTCCATCTTCTCCACCTCTCTTTCTTCTCCATTCTTCTCCCCCGCAGCCAGTGTCTTCTTCGTCTCTCCTCTTTCTCTCGTCGTCGTCGCGCTCGCGAATGACACGCGACCCCCGGTCTGGCTGACGTTCGCTTCGCTTTCTTCCCCGAATCGAAACCCTCGCTCGTACACGCTCGATCGTGTTTCGCGAAAGCCAACGGCCGCCGGCGTGACAGGCCTGACGAGCCGGCGTCCGGGCTGGCAGGCTGTTTACGGGGCTGTGAAGGGGGAAGGGAGAGGAGAGAGGGAGAACGGGAGCTCTCACGTTTCGATCACGAGTCTCGGAGTAAGAGCGCTCCCGCGTTTCCCGCGAACGGAGGAGGTATGTCCAGCCAAGTTCACGGCTGTCGAGACGGAGAGAGAGAGAGAGAGCAGGTGCTCGTCGCTGAGAAAGGCGATACGAAAGGCGAGTCGTGCGTTAAAATTCTTGAGCACCGGCGCGTGCCGCGTCGTGATGCTGGCGCCGGTCGGGTTGCAGCCGACCCTCCGTCATTACGTCGAATATCGTGAATCACACATATACGTTTGCGTGAAAAAGTATCCCCTCGTTCAGCCGAACGTTCACCTACGTCGGTATGCCGGGTGTGTTGGTGCCTTCTTCGCGACGGCTCTCGCGCCGTAAGACCACGTATCAAGTTTACGGAACATTGACGTGGCCAGTGCTCAAGGGTTAACGACGTGACGACGATCCTTTGAGCCCGAGTGGGCTGTTGCGCCGGTGAAAGGACTTCATCGATGAAATCGATGCCCGGAGGGAGGAGGAGGTAGAAAGCGCGCGCGATGCTCGATCCCAAAAGGGATGGATGTCCGTAAACGAGGAAGAGGAAATCGATGTCTCCTCGTTCTCGCAGCAGTTGCAGCGCTTACCCCCCGGGGAATCGTACACACCGTGTCCCGGAACTCGAGAATGTTGTCCTTTCGACCGTAGCTTGCTCGGCTGGTCGGAGGAGGTCTCTTCTTGGTAAGGAACGTCCGAGGAGATCATTTATCCTCGACTTCGCGAAAAATTTACGGCATTGCTTTCACGAACCGTCGATCCGGGAATTAGCACGTTGAGAACGTTGCGACGTTCACCGGCGACCGGCGATGACACCGTCGCCCCTCGTTAAGCCACATGTATTGAGTATACGTGTAAATAGCGAGATATTATTCGCGAATATTCATCGTTAATTATTACATAATTTCATCTAAACATCAAACATTCTTTTTTACGAGTTAATTGAATATAATAACTAATTGAATATCCGCAATCCCCAACAGGCGTTTCGTGTCGGCTTTCGTTCGTTTGATCCTTCATTGTACGTCTGAAAGTATTGACAATTTCAATAATTAATTACATTCGAGAGATCAGCAGCATATAGCTGATAGAAAGCAACGGTGAAGCGAGACGAGAGATAAACGCGCGCATATCCGTACATTTATTAACCGTACCTTTGGCAAGAATTTTTCTTCTGAAATCAGCGGAAAATCAGCGCGGCGGTCGTTAGAGTTTCATTGAGGTCCAAAACCGGCGGAAGAATATCAATATCATTCTGTCATCTCTGCCGCGAAGAACCGATACTATCCACTCGTTCCTCGTGGTTTCCAATCGTTAATTACTCGGAAAAGTCGTCGCGGACGCCTCGTCATTCCCGTCTGTCGCGTAAAGGTCGACCACGTCTCGGCCGAGGCATCCGCGGAGAAGGGAACATCTGGTGGTCGATAAACAAGCCCCGAAACTCCGATTCTTCGAGGGGTTCAAAGGGTTAAAGCACATCGTGCGTTCGATCGCTCGCGCTCTTCTTTTTCTTTTATTTGCCGCCGACGGGAACAAATACAGGAATAACCGAGGCGGTCGTAGTTAGACGCGACTCTTCGAGTGTTTGCTTCGCAAAGGATCTGCGTCTTTGATGAGCGCGCATGCGAGATGGAAATAGAGATAGAGAGGGAGAGAGAGAGACACGGATATTTCGCGGGTTGATAACTTTATTATCATCTTAGCCGCTCGATTAATTCGTTTGCGATTAATCTGTTTACCGCTCGGCACGCTCATAAGCCGCTTGCTCGCTCACGATTTCGCGCGAACGCGGGAAAGGAACGGCGCTCGCGAGGCGCGATCGATCGGAAGATTAATTATCGGTCGTGACTGTCGGGATCGCGACTTTTCCTTTCGAAACTTGTACATATTGCCCGATGGCATTTTGTGTCGCGCGCGTCCCGACGCGCGGAGAAAGATTGCGCGATCGTGACGCAGGCGAGTTTCTCCGCGCGAATTTCCACTCTCGCCTCTCCGTTTGTTACTCTTCCGCGAGAAAATTCCTCTCCCGGAAGTGTCACCGTCTCTGTTGTGTGTACACGACGATTCTCCGACGGAGTCTGAATGAAGGAATTCACGCACCGCACGGCGACGGTATTTTCTCGCCGTTTCAACGCTGGAAACAGTGACCGCGCGATTCCGACCTTCGTCCGCACTCGTGAGACACACTCGGCGATTAATTATGCGCGGACCTCGTGCCTCTCTCCCAGCCGTCGGCGCGAAAAGTCGACCTTTGTCTCTTTGTTCAGCGCGAAGAAGCGCGGTGGAGAGAAAGAGAGAGAGAGAGCGCGAACGGCGACGAGCTCTTTGGGCGTTTCTCCCGCGAGAAGGACGTTTCCATGTGCGCAGGATGAGCTCCCCAGGAGCTGGACCGAACGGTTTTTCTTCTTGGGAGAGAGTGGGACAGAGGTGGACAGACGAGATTGGATATATCGCGTTCAAGCGTGCTCTCGGGCAGTTCCCGAGAGTCGGGGACACCCCGTATATTCGGCGTGTGCCGACGTCGTCAAACGCCGCTGGTGACGAGCGGCACGTCCGGCGATATCCCCATTTGCATCCCAAAGTTCCGCTCTCGTTGGCGTGGAACACGGAAAAAGCTGGTAACCCGGCTCTTTTCCGTGTGCTCCACGGCCGGCCACGTGCGGCCGCCAGCTGGCCGATCGCTCGGTCAAAAGTAGCCGTCAGAAGAGTCGTGTTAACACGTCGTCGTTCGTGTGAACGAGTACGAGAGGTGTGCACGTTTGGCGGGGGAGGCAAAAGCGAAAATATATGGCGGTCGTTCTCACCGCGTGTTTGCCGAGACGAGATCCCCTCAGTATGGTGAAACCACCCGCCGGACCGTTTCGCTTTCGGGCTTTTGATATGCGCGTGTGTTTTCCTACATGCGGCATCCGCTTGGGTGCTACTTATGCAAATCCTGTGACGCTATCCCGCCTTTCTGGCTTCCGGAGAAAAGCTGGAAAAAGAACATTCCGGCCGCTTCGAGGCGCCCTCCGCGCTTTTGTCACCCGAAGTGAGGAAAATATCGTCCGATCCGCCGACCCGCATTCCGGTCAACGACTTGTTTCGTGTGGCGCGGATGTTACGCGCGCCTAAGTTCGGTGTCGCCGCGCGGACCGCAAACCATCGAGATCGGACACACTAGAGACGAGCCACAGAGCAGGAAACATCTTTTTGCTCGTGTGTGTGTGTGTGTGTGTGTGTCGCTGGCTGCCGACCCCGTTGGATATTAACCCGTCGTTGGCATACTTTTTGTGTCAGTTCAGTACATAGTAGAGTTTGCCACGAGTCTGTGAGACCCAATAACTTTTTCAACACGCCCTTGTAGAAATATCTATAAATCCGGTGCTTATCCGGTGTACCAGATAAGTATTATAGTTTTTACTCGAACTTAAGATTCTACAGTTGTTGAATCTTAAGTCACCTCACGTGAAACAGAATTGATTCCACGACTGTAGAATCTTAACTTTTCATTTGGGTCGGTTTGACCCGTCAGTGCCAAATTAGGGTTAACTGTCGGAATATTAGATTGTCTAAGGAAGCGAGGGAAATAGGTTATAAAAAGAGATCAGTCAAAATAATTCGAACGTCGAGTCGAACGAGCTCAATTTTCGGCTTGTGTATTACGAACTGATTGCCTTGATACTTTCGAAAAAATTCTACTTCAGCGTTAACCTTTTGTTTGTGTAAAGGTAGCTCCCAATTCAGTTCAATGAGACGGATTACAAAGCTGACCCGATACATTGATCGTAATTATCGTCTGATTTAATGGACTATCCATCAGAGATAGAATTACTCGTATTACGCGGCTAAATCAACATTTCGGTAGCTGAAGGAACATCTGTATCCTGCATACGACTATGTCTCGTTAACCGTTGGTCGCTAATTAAATTTCATCGTTGAAATTCCCACGTTGGTTTGTTGACTCGATTTTCATTCATTTGGACACGATTACGCGGTTTGTGCGACAAAATTTGTCTAACCGCGAGACTCGCTTCTTTTTATTTGACTTTTTCCTCGGCTTAGCTGAGCGCGAATAAAGTCGAAAACGGAATTACATCCAGTTTCGCGGCAGTGTTCGCCGAGATAATCTCCGATACACTTTCTACGTTTCTCGAGGGAAGTTTCTCAATTTCTTGCTCACGCAGAACTCGGGAAAAGAGTTCCAAGGCGTTTAACGGCGTGACGTCGCATCTTCGTATGCGAGATTATCCTAATAAAGACGACGACGTCTCAGGCTGCGGGGTGCGAATCACGGCCTGGAATCCGAGATTGAGGCGCGGAATTCGAGACTTCCGTGTAATACGATGGCGACTGAAATTGAGCACGGCCATGGAATCACGCGAAATTCGATATCCACTCCCCGGGTATCGATGGCTGATTAATGTCGAAAGTAAAATATCGATATCGGGAGATACTCGTTATCACGTCCCAACTGTCGACATTTCGCCAATGCAAATAGTGCGGAGAGCGCGATTCGCTTTGGCCTACGGCTTTTCAAGACCTC